CCGCTCCGGTCTTCCTCTTCATCGCGGGCACCAGGCAATCGTAATCGGGCCAGGGTTAATTCAGTGGCCCCGGCGTGGTTCAGTACCACATGCTGGGGCCCACAACAATAGCAAGTTAGGTTAAAGAATCAAAATTCTTTACACACTGAAAACATAACGTAAAGTATCACATCTATTTACTGTAGATAAGGCAAAACTGACCACTAAGTTCGAGCATTGCGGATGTTTAAGACCGGTAAGAGACGAAATACTGACAGGTACATTTAGACAACTTCTGAAATCAGCTTTTAACCACACCCCATTTTGAAGTGAAGTTGATTTAGCAAAATGGACCACACTGTGACATGCTTCGCAAAGTGAGGCCACACACCAAATGACATGAAACATTTCTAGACCATTTATAAAACTGACGATAATACGTGAGCGCACAATTCCGTTCTACTAGTTTATTTTAGTCATGATTCTACAAAAAGCACTGGATAGCCGTTACGATAAATCTAGTTTTTTGAATGACAGAACCGGAATGACGGGGCTCACAACATCCGATGCAGAGGAGTGACTGATTCGCGGGGTGAGCGACAGCTTCAAGGGATTAGTTATCAATCTTGTTTGCAGGTTTTTGTGTGGCTTGTAAACAACCAGACAGCCATTTCTGTTTCTCTATGACGTGGCCAGTAGAACGTGTTAGTTATAAAAATTAAATTCGTCACCTTTAAAAGCACAAATTGAGTTACCACAGGTCGATAATTTGTGCCAGTGTGGAGGATTTTCACACAAACTTTAAGCACACGTCTAAAACATTTAATTTGTCAACGTAGTGAGCCTAATGTTACTTACGAGACCCTTAACACACGAATACTCGCAAAAACGAATGAGCAAATATGGTATTAATGGTGTACATTCCTCGGGGATAAGTTGGCCTATTGCGAATGGGTAAATGTTAACGGGACATACAAGCCTTGCATCAGGATGCGACTAAGCGCAAAAATTTGCCCTGCTAGATTGTGTATTAGAGAGCCCTTTGCAGTCAGTTTGTTACGCCGGTGATCCAAGAAGACGGGGTTTAGCGATACTACGACCGTAAGAACTCAATTTTAGCAAAAGTGTCCCCCATTCCACCGACTCTCCTTTGACTTCAAGGATATTGCACAGAGTTGGAATTTTTGAGTGCACAACCAAAATTTATTGCAGTATTAATCGCAATCAACAAATAATTCCCGCCAAATCAAAAACCCACAAGGAACGAGATTTCAAAATTTCAAACCTTTAGAAATTGAAGCAAGCCAATTTGTAGCGAATCTGCGCTAATCAAACATGATTGTTAGACGACAGTTAGCCACTATATGACGAACTTTGTGTGAATTTGAACTTATGTATGAAAATCACTCATTCGGACAGAAAGTGATGACACCAAACAGGAAACTCTTTGGAAAACAGACTTGGTAATCATAGACTGACAGAGGGGTAAATAGGCATTTCGCGTTATACACGACACATCTTTTCAGCAGGGCTGCATCCAAATTGACATGAAATGGCCGGATAATCTATACGTGAATGACGAATATCAGCAGCCCTAATGACTGGTTCATCTTTGCACCAATTTGGACAAAAACCACAGCAATTCACACAAGTCTGCAATGACAACCTCGACAGATGGGGCCATCAAGCAAGTCACTCAAGCTTTGACGAATACAGCGGGATTCGAAAGTGTTGCTAACACATGAAGTGATCCAGCAACAGGAGTGCGCGCACCACCTCATCGCGAATTTGAGTGGGCACAAGTCCACTCAGGGGACACCGGGAAATTCGGCCTGTGTGAAAGCTGCCTCACTACAAGAAACCAGAGAGTTGCATGTGAACTTGTCAACTTGCGCTTTCTTCTGATTCTCCGCTAGTCGTCTGGCGAATTTTACCGGCTGTGGATGCATAACAGACCAAACACTCTCAAGGCTGCGAATTGTGCCGATGCAGTCATGAGATGACGCCAAAAATCAGTATCACATCGACCACTGAAGGATTACGGGTTTCGGTGCTCGCTTAGGCTGCAACTGTGTGTAAAATGAGTTCTGGAAGTTGGGCATAGCTGCACAAAGTCTAGTGTACTGACACTCTACCGAGTTTAAAGTCACTACGTTCTCGCTTCCGACATGCACACACAACGTTTTTCGAACAGGCGACGTTCCGTCGCACGCGGCGCCCCGCGCCCTTCGGACAGCAGCATTTTGGTGGCATCCAGTTAGACTTTGAGGGCCAAAAGCTGGCGTTCGTATACAAGAGATGAGCAGTGACACCATGGATCCTTGGGCTGCTGATTTCACGTGGTTCGACCAAATAGGAGTCGTTTTAGCGTTCGGCCACACGCTGAATCAACCTGCACCAGTTGTGCACAACTGCAACCCCACAGATGTGACGAAACCATGTGTCCCAGTTTCATCCGCTCGTGCGAAAGCAGTGCCAAACTACCTTGAATGAGGTGCAGAGAGGTGGCAATGGAATTTGTGTTCTTGCAAGAAAATCTTGCCCAATTGGACTTGGATCCCAGCAAGCAAACATTACCGTAAACGTAGGAATGCGCTGATTTCGCCCAGATTTAGACGTAAACAGGTCAAATGGAATGGAAATCGGAGAAGGCACACAGCAAGCAGAATTGGCAACATAAGAAATCACCATGACGACTCTAATAGACAATTCCCTTGACCAAACACGAGAACGAAGCAAGTTCCTTGCAAATGGAGCCACGAAGAATGAGTTACTTTCCAAATGTGAGTCAAACAACGAGTGCTGTCCTCACATGTCACGCATTTGAGCAGTTCGACTTGTGGAGGCTTTTTTTAATGAGATTTAGTTAAATGTATATAAAGTTAGAGTTCTAAACAGACAGTGGTAAGACCTGATTGCGAAACAAACTGATCCAAAATCACACCAAGAGATCAGGTTGAAGAGGCTGGCATTGTTAGCTTGCAAACCAACAGTGGCTCACACCTATGAGCAGCATATTTCGGCCCCGAGTTTACTATTTATAGACTTTTTTTCTAACTCACAAAGAGACAAGGTGGGAATCACACTGTCGCAGGATCTTCAAACACAGAGGTCTTTCATTAATACAATGAAAGTTTGGAAACTCAAGTACTTGTAAGTTGTTTATACGTATTTAAGAATCTTGATGGCAATGAAATGCGAGTTTTCTTAGCTTCATGGGTTCACCTTTATTGCAAAATTACTACCCATACCACATCTACACCGGAAAACCACAATTTACCAGCAACTAAGGTCGAAACGTGCGCATTTATCGTTCGACGTCTACATTTGGACAGTGTGCGTGTGTGATTAGATTACTTTTTTTGGCTACATGAGAGCCACTGAGAGTTGAGTTGGTGCCATCCACAAACTGGAAAGCTGGATCAAAACGACCTCTGGTCAAGTAATTGACAGTTAACGAAAAGTGGCACGTTTCCTGTCAGCGAGCGAAAATGCCATCGCCTCTACCACCGCGCATACTCTGCACAATTACCATGGAATTAAATCAAGAAAATACACAACACGCCATGCCTAGTGCCAGTTTCTGCAGTACCTTAGTACGACTGCACTGCACAGTGGCGCGATAGGACGACCAGCACCGCAAGGTTGTGCACTTACAGAAATTCCAGTTGAACCAGTGGTGTGGCGATTTCGCCGTAAATTAGAGCTACTTGCCGTTTTAAGGTGGTGGAATTCGGGAAAAATTGAATGTGTTTAAACTGGGTTCCTCAAAACATTAAGGCATTAACCAAGACTAAGTATGAATGTCTTAAAATACACTAGAAATGTACTAACACAACTGGATTTTGAAAATTGATTGCTGCCAAAACACGCCCTGTTAAGTGGCAGATGCGTCCAGGCACTCAATTACGTAAACTCACAAATGAGAGTGTACGTGCCTATTAATATGGTCACCTAATAAGACGAAGACAAATTGTTGAGCTCATTGACAACACGGCAAATACGGTTGTGGTGCTTGTCTACTCTGACTGATGATGCCCAGTCAGTCGTGAGGTGGAATGCAAAATTAGGGGCTTTGGGTTTATTGAAATGAATCAAGATCTCGACTAGTCGTTGAGCCAACCTGGCATGTGGGCGGTAATTACGTCACAGACCACATTCAAGGCTTCGAAAATACACCTGTGTGGTGTGAACAAGAGCGTGTTTGCATTCATGGGGAGATTTGTAGCTCATGTGGAGAATCTGGGAGCTCTGGCCAGTTTTTTGTCATGCTTGGCTAATCAAGAACACAGTTCACAGTAATACCACAACTGCCTTAATACTTTGCAGATTTGTCATTTGAATTGAGCAGTATTTCTTGGTATTCGCGTCAGGTAGTTATGCGGGAATCGTGGCCCGCATAATTGTCGAAGCAGTAGTAACACCACACAGAGCTCTAGGCTGGAAAGCCATCCAAAACCGTCAATTCTGCATCACCGAGCTCAACAGATGGGATCGAGCAGGCGTTGTGATGATCTTGCTCGTTTAGCTGAATTTATGTAAATTCGTCACATCTCTTTTCGCCCAGAATCCCATCCACATGTTACATCAGGACTAGCCTTAATTCACAGACAACACAATACAGGTGCCTAAGGGCGTCACGGAATGCCTCGGGGGTGTATTTCATGTCCAACCAACTAGCTGTTTGCATGGCAGCACCGAGGTATGAAACGTCTGCGCTTACGTCGACTTCATTCGAGAGAGTATCACCGCGGACGTTGGCAACGTCGAGGAGAGGCTTCAGGTCAAGCTCAATGCGCGACTCCAGGGTTTTGATTCGTTCCGCGTCAGCCTGAAGAGCCTCCGTGGCCTCTTTGCGCCTAGTTGAAAGCTCCTGCTGCAAGTCCGCCATCTGCGTTTTCAGGACCTTCGTGTGCTCCTCCAGCTCGGTGACACGCAGTTTCTCCTCTTTTAGCTGATTCAAAGCCCTCTGCTCCGCTGATTGCCTGCCTTGCGACACCTTGTTCATTTCAATGGTCAAATTTTCGACTTTGGTCTTCAAAGAGCAAAAAAGCAAAGGCAGTTTAGGCATCATCTTGATATACTTGCTCAGAGTACACTAGCACCTAATTTATCGAACCGGTCAGGTGCTCTAGGGAAATTACGTGCTGTCGTAAAATGAGTCTCTCCGTCTTACAATTTACCCGTAAAAACACATTGAACAATTGACCTTGCTCTGATGTCCGCTATTTGCTTGCAAAACTGCCTCGTTATCCACTCTGTTGCTCCATAGCGGTTAGTAAAACTCCCTGTTCCCTACAGCCTTCTTTTCTGTTCCACTCTGACAACAGACCCTATAAATGCTTGTTTTGAGTTCTCTGCACCCTTTCTTTCCTAAGACATTTTCCCGCGCAAAATCACCTAAGACCTCATCGTTTTAGTGTTGATCTAGTGGAATCAGAAGCGGAATGATTATCCAGATGAGATGGTATTGAACCAGCCACTGATGTCTAAATAAGTGGTTTTACGCGAGTAAGCGAGAAAAGCAGATAGACCACAAATGTCTACCTCAATTACTATAACCCTAACCGTTTCTAACCAGTACTCATTGCTGGCTTTCTGCCAATTTTCCCAGCACTTCAAAAGCAACTTTTGAAACTTCTGAACAACAGGTGAACGGCATCAGGCATGATTTTACTTTAGGGCACTTGGGTGGGTGCGCGCGTGAGTAGTCCACAGAGGAAGCACACTGTTCGAGGTCAAACGAGCTGAAGTTAAAACTACACTGAAAATGACTCAATTCTAATCGACGGATGTGACACAGCAGTAGCCGCTAAGAGTCCGATATCAGAAAGTGAGAATAAGCTTGAATGATTAGTTTAAGACAACGAAAAGAAACTCGTTACATCAGAATAAAAATGTTGCGTTCAAAATGATTCCTGAAACCCATAGATTGCATTTCCGCCTCAGAAACCCTAAACTAACATTGCAGTTTTTTTAAGATCCCGTCAACCACGCTTACAGGAAGTGTCAGGTCTTGTATAAGGCAAAATATCACCGGCAACCACCACAAATATTCCACTGGAGAGATCTTATGCCAACTCAGCGATTTTACGGAGCCAATAGGAAACTGGCCAATCACAACAAATCTTGCTCATCAAGATCACTTTGTCAGCAGTCACACCGATCACCCTGGTCATCATCTAGCGGTGCCTTCTGAGTAATTAAACCTTGGAGCCAGACGAATGGTGTGTCCGTTTGCTGCATTCGTCGCTGAGATTCATCTGCTACTTATTTGAATAAAGTAGACATCAATTCTGTTCTTACTTGAGCATTTTCGAATTTGTGTTGCCACTTTTCGGCGTCACCTCGCACAGCCGAAAGTGATTGCTTGAGTCGTGAGACCTCTTTTTCAAAGGCAGCCGCATCCTCCTTCGCTTTTTTATTGGAGGCCTGCAACTGCTCGTTGAGTTGGTCAGCGCGCGCCACCGCGGCCTCACAGCGACGCTTTGCAGAAGCAATCGAGGAGTCGGCAGCCACTGACTTCTCTGTCATCAATTTCAGCGACTCAAGTGCCTTAAGTCGATTATTCTCGGCTGAGAGTGAAAAAGTGGCATTTAATATTAGTTCACGACTTTGTTTAAGAAAAAAATAGCCAAAACGCATTGCTTAAAACACAACATTGGCTGAATTGATTGTGCCAAGATGTCTTGCTGCTGCTACTAAGTTTCCACAAGCCTTCATATGCTAAAAGAATCAGTGATTTTGCACAGAGGCAAAGTTCAGTTTGGAAGCTTCGTTCTCTCATTTCGATTTTTTCTGGTGTTAAATACGCCGAATATAACTTTGAGTGCTGCTTCGTTCGGCTAATGCCATGAATGTGTTCGCTTAGATCACTACGGCCACGCAGGCGTGCCAGGGAACAAAGAAGACAAAAACGATCTTTCGAGCCTCAAAACTGAAAATCACCAATAAGTGGTAGCTGTCATTTATCAACAACGTAAAGGATTTGTTTGTTTTGATGTAACAGTGAGGCCTACATTCAGAGAGACGTTTACGGAGTTGGCCAAGGAGAGTGCTCAGATTATCCGCCCGTGCCTTCTGTGATTCCGCCTTCTGTTGGGCCTGCTTGAGCAACGCAGCGGATTGATTCGCTGTGTTAGTCAGTATCGTCTCCCGCTCCTTCATCGTCTCCGCCATTAACTTGGCCTCAGCCGCAGCCTGATTGGCTGTCTAAAATATTGCATTGAAACCGAAATAGCTGGTATTTGATCGGATGGGAAACGGGCAACCAATCACAATTTTCAGCCAAGTTCGATCAATGCTGTGACATTGGTTACTTATATCGCATATGGTAAAAGGGGGGTTTTGTAAATATGCAAGTGAAGTTGGAGTGATACTGAAATGGCTTAGGCTAAAATCCTACTCGCAGTTCAGATGTATCTGTGTTCTTTCAATAAGGTAAGTTGTATAACAACTTACGGCTCCAATGATTCCTAGAATAAAAGCACAATAACGTTTACCAGCATTAATCCTTTTATTGGAGGGTTGTAGTTGTGATAATCGCTTGTGGTTGCGTACATGTGACATTTGCGTACATTTGGTAGCTAAAACGCACCTTAATTTTGTTACGAAGACCGTTAACTTCGTTGTAAAGGGAATTTCTTTGGTTCTGGACTTGGGCTAAGTTATCGGAAATTGCTTTAATTGAGGCTTTCTGTTCCACTTGAATTTCCTGAATCTAAAAAAATTACTTAAACAATAATTTGCAAGAATTCGCAATAGTGCTTGAGAATTCAAACATGGTCCTCATGAAATTAATGAAATAAATTTATTTCAAACAAGAAAACCATGGTAGCAAGTATGGTTCTAATAACGCTAATGTATACCAGGTTTTCAGTTAATAGCAAAGTTTGAAAAAAAAGAGGTGACCATAAAACGAAGCGTTAACAGCTAGAGTTAAATTGCTGAGACGTCAACGAATAAATGCGCCTAGAGTTTCCCATAAATGGTCTTTAATTGGCTTCACTGCTTCAAGAAACCTCATAAACGAGGCTTGTGCAAAACTGAAACAAACTTTTCGACCTACTTTTGCATTAAGTCGTCGGTTCTCGGCTTCATACTGCTTTCGGACGGCCTCAAGCTCCGCTTTAAGTTGTGACACGGTTAAGTTGGCTTCATGCAGTCGTGAGGAATGAGAATCGATGACATTTTGCGCTTGACATTCGGCAACTTCTAGACGGGACATAAGTCCCGTCTTCATTCGTGAAATGTAACTTAAATACCGTTGCAACTTATTTTTCAGGCTGTCTGCATGTTCCTCAGCTCTAAATTCCACAAAGAAAATAAAATATGGAGGTTTTTTCTAGGGTGGCTAATGATAGAAGAAACCATGTTTTCATTTGGAGAGAAAACAGGTCTGGAAGCTTCTAGAGCTGAATTAAAAGCATTGTTAACGAAGTGGGCTTCATTGAAGTTTTTTACTACATTCCAAACAAAAACGCATTAATATTTAACGTGAATGTGATTACTAATAACAATATACGTAAACAATGTGTAAACCGTTATGGATAGCACTTGTGGAATAATATTTTTGAAAAATTCAATTGGTAAAATAATAAAAGGTTTCTTATTATTGTGATGAAACCTGTGCACACATACAACGAGGCTATAAATCATAAGGATAAAACGTCAACTTAAAAATAGTGTGCTTTATTTAGAGCCAAAATGGAAATTGTAATTAGTAGTGCACTTGTGCATAAGTTAAGATTCACAAATAATAAAGAAGGAAAATCCTACCTTATTCGCCGTGATTTTTCATGATCCAACTTTTGGGTAAGTAAATCCAAGAGCAAATCTTTGTCATCTTTTACTTCGATCGCCATGTTTATTTAACAAAAGGTCACTTTAATATTCGATAAAATTTAAAAAATTCAAAAAACAGAACAAAACTAAATAATCATAAGATAGTTTGCATCTGGGATTCAAAAATCCCTTTTCATGCTACACTAAGCTCAAGGGCATGTAAATAATTTTAAAAGTTTGACAGCTACCACTGGTCTTTTATTTCAATGCATGTAAACAATCCACCAAAAGCCAAAAGACTGCAACCAAATTTACGTTTATACAAAGCAGTTTTTTAATGCAAATAAATTTTCCCTTAATAAATACATTACAAACAACTGCATAAGTTGAACATATAGTGGGATAGATATTTAACCAGCGTGACTGCTTAGGTGATATTCCTTATAAATGGAGTTTCAAATTAACAAATTGAATTCTTCAAGTCTCTCAATATTAATTAAAAATTTTAACTAATACCCTAGTTTTATCTATTACTTCCCAAATACTATATAGCCGATCACGTATAAAAATCTTAATTATTTGAATGGAATTAGCTTGCTTTTATTCAGTGTCTTTTGCCAGTCCTAATGTTCAATGCATTCATTACCCTTCTTTTTATTTAATTTGCGTAGGCACAAATTTTCGGAATCGTAAAACTAACATTAATAGCTTAAAAAGTCTTTTAAAAAATAGTTTTCAATAACATTTTTCCAATTTGACGGTGTTGTGGGCCCCAGCATGTGGTCTTGAACCACGCCGGGGCCACAGAATTAGCCCTGGCCCGATTACGCTTGCCTGATGCCCGCCATGAAGAAAAAGGCCGGACAGGACGCAGGCACAACCGTTTACTTAAGAGGTCAACCACGTTAGTGTTGTTGTGTCCTGTGTGGTGTTTACGCGTATGTATTTATAGCTCGAATGTGTGAGTCATACATGCGCTAACATCAAAACCTATGTGTGGAGACACTCAACGATAAATATTCGGGCTAATGAAGAGAGAGTTGAGGAATCGAGCGACTGGCGACATGCTGCGACAAGGAGAACCCTGTGTAGGAGGTGGAGCGACCGGATTAGGGGATTGAATAAACAGGAGTCACGACAACGGTACTTATTAAGACTGTGAACTTCATTACCAGAGTAAATAGAATACAAAATTGCAGAAAATTGCGTTGATTTTAAACAAAATATTGAGTGCTTTATATGGGAACGGATTTCAATTAGCCCAACAACCTCAATTTGGGTTTAAGATCTAGTATTTATTTTACAGACGACTCTAACGGTATTAGAATGTGAATCAATGCCTTCTAAATAGTTTTGAATCAGCTTACAGCATTAATGACTGTCACCATTGGAACTCGTGTTGCTTAACCTAATCTTTAACCTGCAACGACTAAACTCGGGCAACTGTATTTTTAGTAACTTAACGCCTTTAAAATAAATATGGCTCTATTATACCAAAATCTTATCACACATGTTTTAATTCCCAGAAATTAACTTTGATGAGGACCGCAAAACCCTTATACACTTTCAATAATTTGTGTCAGCATGAAATCAAAAAAGCACTTGTTCTAGCGAGCCAGTTAGTTATCTTTGCTTCTTCGAACACGTATTCAGGAAAGTTTACTTGTGTTGCTGCTACGCATAAAAAAATCATTCACGATGATAATTACCTGGTTGCTGTAGCAATTTTTAGTTATTGGTTTCTCTTTATTGATCTGATAATCATGAAAGTGTTTGAGATGAATAAAAGTGGAGCTCTTATTGACATAAGTCATGTCCTTTCTCTACGCTTGGCATCAGCGGCCATGTGGAATCCAAGCCAGGATTGGAACCATTATCAAACTATTCTTTGTTTGCATTTGGTTTATCCTTTTTAAGCATGTAAATAAGAAGAATTTAGAGCTACTTGAACCAGTACCTAATAAATTTGCAAAGGAGAATATTTGCGGGATACGTTTTGTTTGTGGGGACTGGTCAATTAACATTAATTCTTTTTCCCACAATGAGAGACTTGAAAAGTTGGCTGGGTTGAGCAGAAATTTGGAAAAAAAAGTGTTCAACCCTTGTAATTTTTAATGCGACAGTAATGAAATCACACCAAAATAGTATTTAGTTTACTATGAAACCGACGCAAAGCATTAAATAGAAACATCCATGATTATGATATTTGTCCATAATGTATGCATTTTTTCATGTGAGGCAGCAGCATTAAAGTACGGAGTCTCTGTAGGCAGAATTTGTAAGCCAAACTCTTGGCAGGTAGATAGAGAAATTCCATACATCAAAAACAATTTTTCCTAATTTCGACCTCTTTTAACGATGAAAAAACAGATTTCGTTGGGCTACAATTGGCACTAGAAATAATTTTTGTGAGAAGCGAACTTAACCACACTCCTGCAGCTTCCTCGTTGACAGTTAAAAGGAAACAGTCGCTCCCATTAAAGTTATATGCTTGGGACGCCTCCAAACTTGCAAACAAATGGCGATGACTAGCAGAACCGAATTACTTCCACAACTGGGTCATAAATTTCTAACGATGAATGGGATTGCCAGGCGACTGAAAACTGGTATACCATCAAGATTAATTACTACGTAAAGGTAGCTTAAATCTCTACGACAGCATTGATTAAAGGCCTGGAAACGTTGGCTGCTCTAGATCACCTGCAACGAATTCCACCAGTTTTCACGACAAAATTTACGGAAAAAGTTTTGCTTAATTGTAGTCAAAATGAAAAAATCAGTGATTCTTAGTATTAATATAGAAAGCAGTCAAGGTATTCATTTCTGTACTACCTGTTAACGCCGGTAACTCTTCAATGTTTAGGATTCTACGAAATTAATAGATCAGTTTTAGGCCTTTACGCGCTTACGGACACTAAATTGTGCTAAATTTACACGGTGAGATTTGATCCAAAATTTGTTGCAAAGTCACTTATTTTAGCTCAGCAAAATCCTTAATCGTTATCTTTTTAGTTTCAAAAGTAAGATTACCTAAGTGCCTCAATGCAACAGGAGGGGTCCTGTTGGGTATACATTATTGATAAAACCACAAAATTTATTTCTTTCTAACCAAATGAATATTGCAACCGTTAACGTATTTCTGTTCCTCTGTCCTACTAAACTGACACAAAGTGATAAAATTCAGGTAGTTGTCAATTTGGACGTGTAACGTCACATCCCTTCACTAAGTTGAACTGTTGACAAGTACATTTTAGCCAGGAAATGACATGAAAGCACTCGTTGGTTTTTGAGGACAGAATAACTTGATAAGTTGAAAAAACTGATGAATTTACGCAGTAGGAGTAAAGACGGTAATGCTCACAATGAATATTCGGAACTTCAACACTGGAATACATTTTAAGGTTCATCCGTTTTCGTGTTTATGTCGGAAGTGTGAACCGGGAAGAATAAGCAAGCACATTGTTGCCTAGGTGTACGTCAACTACCAATTTCCAACCACAGGGTCGCTAATACGTCGATTATAGCAAATTACACTCACCTCCGCCTTTTGTTTAATGGGCATTTTCAGTCAGCTTTATTTAATTCCCGCTAGTTTTGCCCTGAGACGTGTGGATGAAGGCTTTTACGGGCCCTCAGAAGTTCATCACCAGAGTTATTTAATCTTTCATCATTTTACAACATTCTTTTGGTTTTTCACTTTGTACATTAACAAAAATCCGATTAACTTCTGCCGTAGACGATGAACAGCTGTCACCGGAGTTTACTTCAAATATGCATTGTACTTTTAACACTTTATGCATAGGCATGCTCTACATTCGGCACTGCTAAAAGCCCATGCTTTGTTAATAAGTGTACACAGCACGATTGCGCAGGCTATTGGTCAATTCGTGTGGTACTTGGATGCGATGTCCTCATTATAGACCTCTGCACTTGAAACTCACTGAGTGGTAAATTTTGACGCAGGGAAATGACGTTTTTATGCGGCTTCTCCATTAATCGTCTTGTACACCGCGGGATTTTAGCGTAACTCATTGTACAAAAGCCTGCTTTTGCCATGGTGAGCGGGGCCCTCAAGACAGTCCCATGATCTGACATGAGCACTGCTCACTCGTTATTATCACTTATTACCTAAAGCTAACTTATTCTTATTGTTTCAAGACATGAATTCAAACCTAGTATTCGGACCCTGACTATTAAAGCGCAGTTTTTTACAGGATTCACTCAATGAAAATGATGAAACCACTAGTAGTCCTCTCAGTATCTTTTGAAATGCAAAAATAACACTCTATTCTGGTCACTCATCACAACAGCTAAATTGTGCTTTCTACGGTTCGCAAGAATATTTACTGAGAACAGGCGAATGCGCCAATTTAGTGTCCCCAGCCATACACAACCTGCAAAGTGCTGTGCTACTTACCACTGATTTTATCATGGCTAAATGGGCTTTGCGATGCAGCACTACTGTTTGAAAATCGACCACCGGTCAAGTTGGATTTTCACGAAATATTTGTCTTTTCCGCTTTTAGGAATGCAACAACCATTAAGCATGATAGTGATTTTACTCAACTGCAACAAACAGACTCGCCCCATTTCGTCATGTTACCACAGCATTTTGGCGCATGATCATGGACAACTGCGATCCTCAAAGCTTCGTGAACCCAAAAGAACTAAGCTACAGCAAAATAGGTCATTTATTGCTGGCTGCGGAATGAGGTAGGTAGGGGACACAGACTGGAATAGATTGTTCGGCAGCCAGAACAACAGAAGCCAGGTTTACTGCGATCACGAGATTTGGGGATTTCATCATCATCATCATCGTCATCATCATCTACTACTCGAAATTATGCGGCTCACGTGTTTAGACGGAATGGGAAGAGTGGATCAGGTGGTGACAACACTACATTTCCTTGTACAGTTTGAGTGAATTGTCTGCGTGACGAAGCGAATAGAATGTACAAAGCAGGTTAATCACAATGGTTTGAGACAGGCGAACAAAGAAGCCTAAACGAGGTAGCATGGAAAGTTACTGGAATAGAGGTCTGTGCGAATGCACCTCCTTAAGCGCGGTCGATGGAAGCTGGAGGTGGGGTTGGGGTAATCTCAGACAAAAAGACAAAGAAAAATATAAAAAATAGCGAAAACTTGTGATGTCCATAATGCAGTAGCTGAATTATCATCCTTCCACGATGACTTGACAGATTTTACTGCTGATTGTCGTGTGAGATCCATACGTTGCCAGAGAGCCGCCGGTGGAGATGGCTGGATCTGACTTGGCGACTTTCGTGGGGAATTCAATCGCTCTAGGCCGTAGCCCCCTGGGTAAGCGGGACCCCCACCGTGGTATGGTGAGTGTCCTGCAGAAGCCGAAGAGACACCATTGGCGCGTTTAGGGGGCACAGCGTAGAGCGCTTGTAAAAGATTATGGTTGATGTACCACTTCGGTTTGAGCTGGAAGCCACCACTAACCTCCTCGCTGTCACTCCAAGGATCGAGAAAGTCTGAGCCGAAAGGCGGAGGAACTGGTGGAGGAGGAGGCGGCTTATCTTCGTATTCCACTGCGTAACCTGCTGGCGAGAAGCTTGGAGATTCTTTGGGGATGAAGGGAATCGGTGCTTGAGGCAGAGACGCAGAACCGCCAACGAGTTGCTCATCGAGCATGGAAGAAAGGGGGTGAAGCTCTCTCTCTCGATACTCTCTTGGCTGAAGTTGCTGCCGGCTCGAAGGGTGGAAGGGTGGTTTGCTGCTCACACCATAGAGACTGAGGCTCCAACCGATCAGGGACACTAAGGAAAACAAAGCTTGTTGTGAATCGTGTTTATTCACACCCCTTGATCCGGTCGCTCCACCTCCGACCCAGGGTTCCCCTTTTCGCAGCATGTCGCCAGCCTCGCAGATCCTCAACTCCCCCTTCATTCACACGGATATTTAACTTGGATTATCCTCACACATAGGTCTCGATGTTAGCGCATGTATGACTCACACATCCGAGGTATAAATACACACACGCAAACCCCACACACGACACAACAACACCAACGAGGTTGAGCTCTGAAGTAAACGGTTGTGTCCACGTCCTCTCCTATCTTTGTCTTCATCGCGGATATTAGGGAAGCGTAATCGGGCCAGAGTTATTTCAGTGGCCCCAACTTGATTCAAAACCACATGCTGGGGCCCACAACAAGCTATTTTCGGCTCCAAAAGTCATTATACTCTGTGCTCGAATGTCATCATCAGTAGACACTCTAGTGTGACAATTACGTGACCCACCCCGCTGGAAGTAAAGGTTGCATTGTAAATATCAATTCACCTTGAATAGCTTTCAACGGCGGACGACAGCTTCATTATCTCGACACGTCGAATCGACTACCAATTACTTTGTTTTGGCAAAATGACGATCAGCCCCTTGGGATACCCATTAGGAAATAAAGACTGATACCGCCAATGGATACACTACAACGTCTCCGTAATCACAAGCAATTCAATTACCCCAAACCATCATCTCGATCTCACCCGACCTTTTAGTTACCACGATGAAAAAATTTCTGTCGACTGCTCTCGTTAATGAGGCGACCTTTTAACTGTGAGTGCGCCTAAGTGGGATGTGCTCAAAATAGTTCGCGAATTAACGGACGATCGATTTCTGTCAAACTTCTCACGTATTGGTTGGCGTTTATTGATTTGAGTGTCAAACCAATGCAGACGCAACTCATCTTTCTCGCTCTTTCCTGGTCGTTCCATGTCTGGCAACGACGTTAGTTCAAGTCCCGCATCGGTCCTCTACACACGTATAAGTGAACGATCACTAAATCGTTATGGCCGAAACCTTCGACACCGAATGATCGGAAGTCATTGGACTTCAGTTTCCGTGCCACCTGATTTAGAAGGCAGCGAGAGTTCACCCAGAGGAGGCCATAAGAGTGGTCTCATTTGAGGACGTTGCGCACATGGACACGGAGCCTGGACGACCTTAGGGAGACGCTAGGTGCACGTGAACACGGGACAACAACGTGGGAGACCCAACCGGCGATTTCAAACATCCACGCACGCACGCACGCACACACCTCCACACATTCATCATCGCTACAGCCGTCTGCCCACCGCCTCTCTCTCCAGCCGTGTTGCTAACCTTTTAAAACCGGCCCGAGTGGCATTAAGGCCTACGTGTAATTGGAGGGCGGCTTTAAAGTGGCGTGGGAGGAGGGAGTGGGCGTAGAAATTGCCACCGTTTGGTTTGAAAACAACAGAAAAGTTAGAATTCAATAATTAAATTCACGTCACTCGCCAGACACCGCCCGTCCCATGTTAGCACGAAGTACGAACGCCTGGTAGAAGTCAAAATAATCTTCATGGCTAGTCAAAATAGTTTCTTGCTTGCCAAGACTCCAGAATTCCGTTTTCTTTTTAAGACGAGCCCCAAAGAACCTACATTAGAGATAAACGGTAGTCCCGCCTACGGTTTCGAGTGAAGTCTAGGATGTGTGAGTCAATGGGAGAAATATCAGGACGCAGCATTACTATATTCAGGTAGTTTACGGAGCGATGTTCAAGAGTCCTCGTTTTCCGCCGGCGAATCCGTGACGAATCCAAATTTCAACAATGTTAGATAAAAAAAGGTTGATTTCTAGGGTTTTCGAATGAGCAGACGCCACACATAGACAGAACCTACCACTGCAACCACATCCAACCGATCATGACTTACCGACAGCATTCCCAGAGTGGACTGTGAGGGTCCACGTGCCGTTGGCCATTTCGCCCCAGAAGTGGACGGACATGAATGGCCACGCATGGAAGCCTGCGACATCCAGGTCGAAGGGTCGTTTGCTCAACAACTTGCTAACAGTGCCCATCGGAGACGTTAGCCAGAGTTCCACCTCGCCACGACAATCGCTCGTCAAGGTGACCTTAGAGGGGGAAACAGGAATTGTCCAATAAATCAGGGTCTGGACAAGGCCTCTCGCCTGACCCTAACACACCGAGCATTTTGATTGGTTGTCAGGTCAGTACGCTGTCACGTCAATTGTCACACTGTTCACAAATGAACGACAGAAGATAGTGCGGCAGTTCCCATCCGAGGTCAAATCACTGCGCTTGAGTTGAATATCGTCAAATAACTACCACAGTAAACTAGAGGTGGAGTAACATCTCACAGATATATTTCCAAAAATGTCGGTGTGACAGTGCTTTACACTTGTGACAGTGTTTCATGTGGGGAGAACTTTGTCAGAATTGATGCACAAATTTCCCATAGCAGGACATTAGACAAATGCTTGGCGAGGATGGGAAATTTCGACAAGATGTGTCGCTGTAAATATTGGTCATTTGTAGCCAGCACCTGGAAAATCCGTAGGATGCCTGAATGCATGCCTATCAGAACACCGGAAAAAGTCTGGCTTTGAGTGGTAACTTGGGGATTACGCTTAGTTTAGAAAGACGAAATATCAGTTTCGAGGCTGATCCACTCATTAACAACAACCTGAAGCTAATTAAGGGTGTTTGTGATCATGCAAACAATGCTGAGAGTTAATGAGAAATCCCGAAATTGGTCTAACTTCTCACAACAACGACATCAAGACAACTGACGGTGGGAATTCAGACGTCCCGGTGTTCTACGAAAAGCAGTGCCTTCAAATTAGTCTTCTACGTCAGAGTTGGGAAATATCTATTGGCGACGAGATATCGCAGCTACAACCGGGTTTGCAGTTTGACTGATAGTTGTAGACCTACAGGAGGCAAAGTGTACCTTTCACAAATTGAATACAAATGAACAATATGATTTGTAATGCTCCAGGTATATCTAAGACCAATTACACCTTCAGTGAATGTTGCCTGATGATAGCGCAGAGAGAATCGGACGAGGGAAACTGACAACTTTGCTGAACTCTGCTGCTGTTCACTCCCAAATAGCCCTCAAGTAACGTTAACCCAGATAATAGATAACGAGTCCAAAAAAGTAGGACTGAGGTTTCTAGCAGTTACACTGATTTTTTCTAAGTGGGCAGCCAAAGAACAAGAACAGCATCCCAGGGGTCACCCAGGGAGAACAAGGTGTCACTTTAGATTGCCCCAGTTGATAGCTAAAACCGTTTTTGGAAAGTGATATCTACCCCGCTCAATCAGTAAACTGCGCGTGCGGCAGAAAAAAACGGCGTGAAGGGGAGAGAAAACGGCTGAAGTCAAACACCCTACCGTGCCAATTGGAGTTCTGACTGTGCACAAGTGGGTAAGTGAGGGTTCAGTTCACTAACGCCTTAAACAGATGATAAGTGCAGTGATTTACTTTTGAGCTGGCATGAAAAACCCTAATAAATTTGATTGTGAGAAAAGAATGCTACCTCAGATTGGAGAAACAGTGGCACAGGACGTAACGAGATTAGGGAAATCTACGCCCAATTGCATTAGACCATCATTCAATTATGCGTGATAGGGATTTTCAAAAAAACTGAGCTCAAATATAAATCTCTGTGGTATTTTACACGTTCGTCTCAATATACACAGTTGCGCGTGTGCCAATGATAATGAATGACAGAACGAATTTATCATTTTTAAAGATTGACTTCAAATGGTAGATCTCCTTAAATATATGACAGGTCAGGCGATTAGCAAGCCATGAATCGATTGATAGATTATACCAGCAGGCTCTCAGGAATAATACGGTTTAAAATTATGTTTTACTGTCTCCCTTTTTGCATGAATCACTCAAACTACGCACGGATGGGCGAATTGTGCTGGGTTCATAAAGGGTCATTGGAGTACTCAAACTTTAAACGATTCCATTCCTGCATCCTGTTTCCAGTTACCTAATTTGACAGCTATGAGATGTGAAGGCACACATAATATTCAAGTAAGCAAACCAGCCAATAAGTGCAGTCTCACTGGACGCAGTTCTTCAACCAGACACGTCAGGAATTTTGGTGATTCCATGAAACGAGATCGTCAGAGAACCAAGTGAGGTGTGGCACGGCCCCCAACCGCATACCAATGAGTGTGGAAATCAACAAATGCCTTTTTGCGAAAAAAATCTTAACAAATTGCACCGGTGTAGCCAAGAGTGCCTAAAGCTGATTCCACTGACGAAGAAACAAATTTATGCACACCTAAGGCCTAGAAGGGATGAATATCCTCACTTTTGCAAACCCAAAAACACATATGGACAGACCATGTGCCAGCTGATGGACAAAGTCACGGTAGATTTGAGTGAGTTGCACGGCGCCTCAAACAAATGGGCTTATGGTTCACCAGCAATCCATTGTTTTGGGAAAAAACTTCAAGTGAGTCTTCAACAGGGAGACATTATATGCATATTTTCATCGAAATGTTGGACTACTATTAACAAGCGCTATTATTAACTGTGACAGCCTCACATCCTTAGTCGTCTAAGTTGTCAGTATGCTGTTATTCCTGACGGCTACTCCAATCGTTCGCTTGTAGAAGTGGCCAATTTCTGTAAAGCCTGATTGCTCGTTGCCTAGTCAGGGGAGGTCGCTTCCCTAAGCCGAAGTCACAACGGGAGCTCCAGTAGAAGCCTCCTTTGGAATCAACTAAGACAGAAGACACGTCTCCGGTGTGGGATGAGTCTCTGTCCAAGAATGTTTAAACCGCCAATGGGATTAACGTTTCTGGGCATTACGATTCACTAAACCAATAAATAGGAAAGTGGCACGGTTACGCGATCAGATACGAGAGGGTCGGGGTGTGGTACCGGCCAAGAGATGCGCGAGTACACCCCTTTGAGAGGATGGGTCACGCAACGGGTAGAAAAGGGGAATTCGAAGCAGCAAAAACCCACTGCAACTCGTCACGATAATTTTCGACACAAAAAATAAACTCTCAAGAAAGTTCGGTGTTACGAAAGGAGAGCACTGCAAGCTTGCAACGCATCAAAACGCATGCAGAATTTACGTGGTTGGCTTGGTTTGTTAACATTTGATTAGGGCCTAAGCCCAGCGAGCTAGAATAACTAATGTTTGGTGGCTTCTGGGGGAGGAATTTTAAATCTACAGTGAGATAACGTACACAGCATGGGATTTTTAATCTGGCAACCTTGGATTTATCCAGCGAATTCGAAGTTTTACTGTGTCTGGATCCATAAGATTAAAAGAGTTGGAGTAAATTAGCACAAAAGGTAATAAGAAATGGCAAATTTAATGCCAGATCACTCTTTTCCAAACGTCATGCCTTGAGGTTGCAGCTGAAAGTTCAGCTGAGCGTATACAATAGACGATGAATGCCTTATTTGCTGCTGGAGTTGATAAGCATCAAATACCCAATGGTCGACATTGAGAAATGGAGTCGAGAGTATTGACGAAAGAGTTTTCACAGGACGCAATCCTAATCAATCAATTTCACTGTTATAAAATCCCACACAACAACATCGTCTTTTTGACACGACTCGTTTGAGAACTTGCAACAATGCCTTCGAACATAGACAACTAAGCCTAGGAGCTGAAATGAACTCATGTTACGGTCTCAATTTCCGGAAGGTTTAGTTGCAAAAAATGTGCCTAAAAAGAATCAAATTTGGTCATTTTGTATTGTTAGAGACACCACCTCAGGCCAAAGGCATTCTTCCAACCCTTGAGAAATCTGAAGAAATGTTTGCACGACACATATAACCAGACATCTAGTGACGTTTTCTCGCACTCAGACTTCGAAGTTTAAATAAATACCGACACGAGAAGGGAAACAAGACAAGGCAGAGAGTAAACGTTGTCAGATTAAACACCTTCGTGAGTTCGTGCACAGCTAGACGCCCACTTCCAGCGAGTATTGCAGGTGAGTAATTAGCTACAAAAGTCCCATTACCAGACTAAAATGACTATCAGCACGTGGGCGACAAGTCATCGCCTTCTAAAAAAACACGGTAACTCAGCCCTGTTACCCCGCTAATTACCCTGGTTGCCGTGGCAAAAGCAAGCTCCGCCCACACATATTAGCCCGGGTGCTAATAGAAACCAAGAAATAAAATATTTCGCTGTTGTGGACTGTTTCCACAAACTCCCCAGTTTAAACCGGTGGCATGTGGGGGGTGTATTGAGAAGGTGTTAAAGTTCGGTGAAGCCAAAGAAGGGTCAAAAGCATACGTGCTAGTTTTGAGGAATGTCTAGTAACTACAAAATCGAGGTAATGAGTTGGTTATCATGACGATACGCACGCAATTTTCGACGTCAACCAGAGCACAATGATGGGAAAATGACGTAGAAATCGATTCTGAGATTTAGGATTTCAATTCGGCTTGAATTTCAACACACTCCTCCCATATATCGTAAATGTGCTAAGTAGTACACGAAGGTTCAGTGTCGAGCCTGCAATCAGATTTTCAAACCTTGTTCATGTAGGACATGAAAAACCAAAGTTTCTCTCAAAAATGGCATTTAAAACTGAAATTTGAGATCTCGTGATTTATTTAAATGGTACGGACGTTGAGCCGTAATTAATCCCAGTAATGTGTTCTACCAATTTACTAATCTAAGGACAGCGGATGCAGTGTGATTTAAATTCTCTCAAACACAGATTGAGTGAGCCAACTCGAAAATCCTAAATCTTAGCTATATTAGAAAACAAAATGAATAAATAAAATGGGGTATGCAATGCTCACCAATAAAATGACAGCAAATGTTTCCCAAACACTTTGAAACACAGGAAGAGCGTTTATTGGCCAATGGTTTGCGTTTAATAGGAGGGGGGGGGGTGGAAGTGGTTTATTAAAAATAATCGGAAACAATAAACGATTATGTGTACGCGGGATTAATCTACAAATTATGAAATTTATTTTAAACAGGAAGCAGTTACACAATCAAAGCCCTCAAATTATATCGAGTAAGCGGTGTAATCGTGCCTCGACTTAGCAGCTTCAGCCCTGATTAGGTTTAGTTAGATGGTGTCAACCAAAATGCCACTGCACATCTGTAACCTTCGATGGGTTGGGAATCAAAGATGAGTACTCACTTTGGCCTGAACATGTTCCAGGTAGACGACTGCCTGCGAAGGGTCCCCGGCCTCATTGGAGAGACAGCCATCAGTTTCCAGTTGGAGTCGCTCGGACGCGTGATGGCGCATCTTCAGGGGACTGCGAGGCAGAGGGGCGTGTATCTCGCAGATCCTCTGGGTCGGCACGGTTGTCCAGTTGAGGGCCAAGTCCACCATCGCAGCGGCGTCCATTAGCCCATAACTGGTGAAATAAAACACAATTAGTTTCTTATGGTTCCTGAAGCCCAATTTCAATCAATGATGAGGTCGAGTTTTTCAAGCGCCTGACCTAGGCAGTAATTTAACACCTGGGCTTGTCGACAAACTATGGAATATATCATTCTAACGAGAGAGTTTAGAATGACATAGAATGTCTATCTCAATTTATCAAAATCAATCCTGCCATTCAGACACCCCTCACACCGACTTTCCCTCCCTTTTGCCGCTGTGCCTCGGGATGACATTAATTGAAGTAAATTACCCACAAGTATTGAAATTTAAATCGTGCTAGTCAATGCCATAGCAAGTAATAATTAAATGGCTGGAATTTCAGGCATTGCAAATTTAATGGATGTGCTAATCATTATAGAAATGGCACTAGAGTGGCATTCGCAATAAACGGTTCCTGATAAAAACAGGCCATTCAATCACAGTGGCAAAGTAGAGGCGTTAAGTGGGTTATCCTGTAGCTACATGGAGAAAAAAATATCCTAATTGTCGAGTTAGTGTTTTAGCAAATGATAGATTTTTAAAGAATGCATTATCAAGCACAAAGATACCAGTGGACCATTGCAAATGCCCACCAATAATCCCTCGAACATGAAATCATGGCCTTCACCATCGACCAACCATACTATGGGGGCGCTGTGAGGGTTGACCAAAATTCAAGTATAGACTAATGATATTCAAGGCGCTAAGTTGTCTAACACGTAAGCCTTGGGTCTGTTGAAATAGAAATTCATAACTGCTGGCAGTCGAAAGGGTCGGAACAAAGTCGAAAAGTCGTCCAGTGGGAAGGCTATGTATATCCAGGCTATTAGCAGGATGAAATGTCACCCCCGCCTAGGGTAAAACATTCATCGAAATCCAGACACGTTTTATGTCATGAGACAAGTTGATGCCTTAGCATTTTTCATGTCAAATCAGTACACGTACTCGTGTGCCTTGATATCCGGGACTCAGAAGGCGGAAATACGAATTGGTCGTTTAGCTAATAAGTGACAATCGTAAACTCCAACAAACTGCTAATACAGTCAAGTTATGTCGGCAGGATTCGCAGTAACTTGTGTTATCAGGCTGCAGCCGACTTTTAAATAGAGAGCCCAATTAAATATAAAGCAAAAAGAGGGCACGAACAAAGTTAAGCGTGATTTTCTTCACGGTTTGACTTTGGTGGATCAACACACGCATTGATGCACATTCTTGAAGGAAACGTTCTAGATTCGTTGGAATTGCGTTCCACCATTAGAATATTAGCGCAAATGTATAGTTGCCTAGGGAACCCCCAGAGAATGACTCAGTCTGAGAACCAGAGGTGCCATCTATACTGGCTTCCAAATCTGCCAGTGTGTCGAATAGAAGACCAATTCGACTGGGTCCAACATTTTGACCAATGAGATCTCAGTGTAAAAAGGGTGAATGTGCAGTCGCTAACTATGAGAGGTCTTAATCGATTGGGAAACAGGGTGGTTGACTTTCCATCTACACAGTCGCCGGTCTTTATACGGGACTAGTTAATAAGTAGAATGGATTGAGAATCAATTGGTTGAGGTTTGGAGTGTATGATGACGTCTCCTGTGGGCTGCACACACATGGTACGAAGGAGGAAATGCCGCCAGACCAAGGAGTTACACTTGTGAATTAATAGTGAATCTACTTTGGGTCAGAACTGCCCCAGTGTCGACCAATTGGTCTGTCCAGATACGCGTACAACCGATTTGAAAGAAGTGCCGATAAGGCAAGTGTTTCGTGTGTCGGACATGTGCGACCAGGTAACAATCTGAATGCATAATTTAACGGGAAAAAAGAGAATTTTCAAGCCAGGAGAACGATAGTGGGAGTAATTGTTCAGCACTTTTGGGAAAATTGATGGTGCGGGAGCCCACTCCTTCGAGTCAGAAGTGGATTGGCGATAAACCTTGTTCCTATATTCCATTACTCTATCCTCAACCTACAAATCCCCTCAATAAACTCTCAAATCGCATAAGCAGTCAAAAAATAAGCACTCGTGGTCTCTACAGAGGTTAGATTACATCCTCTCCGTTTTTTATACAGGGATCTTAAAATATGAACGGTCTTAAATCAGCGAAGACACCCCTAAAACAACTGTTCCCTTGTACAGAAACAAGGAAAGGAATGTTATTTTAAAATGCAGAGATTCAAAGGAAACATACATGGATTTCATATTCGTGTAATAACAAGGCACAGAGGCTGCCGAGTAAGTTGCATTAACCTCCAGACAAGTCTTCACGGCATTTTCGAATAATTGGATGCCCATGATCATGGAACCAGGTTCCATATGACCTAACCTGCTTTAGTTCTTCTCATTGCTAATGTGTAATCATCAATGTAACTTCTCCTGGCCAAGCTACAATGGCAACGCAAATGGAGAGCATCTCACGAGTTAGAAGGTGGATCTATATATTTACCATAAGTCGCACGGTTTCAAACTTAGCCCGTAAAATGGGGCGATTCGTACCCGAAAGCATGCGAAACACGTCGGCCGACGCCATTTACACGCCAGTCGTTGGTGTAGAGACCGTCAGGACGGGCGGAGTAGATGACGATGTACTGGAGGTCGCGCCAAGTGAGGCGAGGGTTTGCTGACAGCGTGAGGGCGCAAATGCCCGCGGCTAGAGGGGCACTAGCCGATGTCCCCGAGTGGCTGTCGGTGCAGGTGTGGTTCAGATCCGTGGTGACCTAGAAAACATTACCGTATTTATTGTGGGAAATTCCATTTCAGGCTACTGTGAATGAATGAACAAAATATTCAAATGAGTTAGTCGGTCATCGGTCTGTTTGGAAGGAGCGAAATGCTCAAGAAAGAAGTTGTCAAAGCCTAAGTCACGAAATATGTCTCGCAAACGGATCCGCGAGATAGCGGTAGGAGGTAGGTTGCCTAACACACCCAAAACTGTCCACGCTTTGTTGAATTGTGCGTCTGAAATGAAGAAATTGAACTTTGAAGCAGACACAAACATCTCGTACAACCTTTCCTAACCCTTTCCTGGTAATATGTCGGGCCTACAGTACAAAATACGATTACAGAACACTTTGGGACGTGAGCCATGATGGCAGGTGCGAAGTGACTGGCCATCCAAGGCACACAAGAAATGATGCAGCTTATTCCATGGAATCAATTCGCACGGTTTCTAAGTGCTGGAGTGGTTCGAGGAAGAAACCGCGTGCGTACGTTAAACAAACCGAAACTTCGGCTCCTTCTGGCTAATACTTAAGAACACCCCCAAACGCTAAGCACTTATCTTAATTGGCGGAGGAGGAGGAGGCGGAGGAAGAAGAGGCCTTTCTTGTAACATCAAAGCAAATAGCAGCAACTGGTTTTTCAGGTAAGCAATAAAAAACCGCTGCGTCAAGTTTACCAGAATTAGTCCCACGAGTGTAATTAATGGTCTCTAGATGAGATTATAAGTGGTCTGGATCATATCTGAGAAACAGAGTAACTGTCACCATTTCGCGGAAATGAGAGTAAAGCTGGTCGTTTGTTCAGGAAGAAGCGCAACTCAATTTTCCATTGCCAAGCTGGGCTTGGAGGAATTTGCAGAAATCTCACCACCATTCACCCTACATCTGAACAATGATAGACTTAACGACTATAAGATCACTAAACAGTGGAGTTCTTCACAAAGAAGGCACTTCGGGTAAAAACCCTTAGAGGAATGCCATCGGATGAGTCTGCTTGCAGTTGGGAGACGTTGAAACGGAGGATGCGGCGTTTGCACTGCCACTTTGCAGTGTGATAAATGACGTAAAACGCGGAGAAACAAGTCAGTTTAGGTGCGCACACCGGAAGGAAACGCCACTTGTGGGGAGTGGTTGGCTAATCAAGCAAAGGCGTCACCCAAGTTAACTTCCTACACAGACACGGAAGTGACGTAGAATGACAGGCAGGCAATTCTCAGGTTGCAACTAAGGCTTAAAATGTGCGAAGGGAATTTGGACTGAAGGTGTTCCGACAAACTACAGTAGCATCCTGAATTGATGTCACTGTCTACAGTGTGAATATATACTATTTCTTTCTAAATTTGTTTAAAAGGGAAGAGGGATAGGGTGCCAATTCTGAAATGTAGTCAAAGATCTCCAAATTTTGATTCTAGCAAAGTCAAATCAAGCCACGCGACACATGTAAGAAAGCTCAACGATTAAACACTTAGGGTACTTTGTTTAACAGAATCACTGATTAACATCTAGAACATTTCGATCCCGTACAAATTGGATCTGAACTGAACACGTATTGCCATTTCTGAGATGCCATTCATGGGAGATACCGTAATTACATGAAATAATCAGCATGAAAAAGACTCAACCGGAAAATAAATGGATTAGCCAGACAGAAGGTAAAAAAGCAGAGATTTTGTTTCTACGTTTTCATAACGCTTTCGGTGATAATTTCAGGAGCTTTACTTTGAAATAATTGCATGCTGATTGTAATTTAAACGTAACCTTCCATTAAGGGCCTCAGTTGGAGGCGTTTGATGCTACCAGAAAATTTCAAAATCTGCCGAGCGGTTTTGGCTAACGCCGTGCCTAAAATCAAACTTTTGTGTATTTTAAAGTTTCGGAATAAAATAGAATAAAATAAATCAACCTCTCTACGCAGTGTGGTGGTCGTGTAAAGGCTCCATTAAAAGAACGCGGAACACTCCACTGACTTGTATAAACAAATTCCAGACAAAATTTACAGGCATCAAAAAATACAGGCTACTTCCTACCCTATTTTTTCAATGTTCGGTAACTTTACAACAAAACGATTCTTGCCACGACTACATTACGTCATATCGTGTGTGCCAGTTTCGATAACTGGGGCTTGGTGTATGCATTATTTTGAAATTAATTATGACAAACTGCCAATTGAAAATGACAAATACTAAAGTATCATGCGGCGTTCTGGCGCAAACGTCACCGAAGAAGTTAGAAGATACACCGTTATACCACGGGGCGGGAATCCGAACTAGAGACATAATCGCAAACTACCCGAAATTTTGGAAGTTCCTGTAACAAATAAATGAGTGATGCACTAGGCTTAAAATCTTGCCACCCATTTCATTTTAGAATAAATCTAACAAACCGCAATGGTTGGAACATGGTAGAGTGCTTGGTGGAAGCTTTTGAGCCGTTAGACCGACACAGTAGCAAACAGGAAAGAAGCGTGATTGAAAACGTGTAACACGAAATCTGTTTGAGTGACGATGCACCCAAATAACCAGGTCTGTTGGACCTTTTTGGCTTGTTCGATCGCTGGCAATGATGGACGTGCTACAATATACATCTGCATGGTTTGAGACAAATCTCCGTTCCCTGTCCAGAGACGTTGACAGGTAGTAGTTAGAAAGGAAAAGAGAAATCAGGGAATTTCAGCGACAAAGAGGAGAAGAAGAGAGGACTGTGAAAGACAAGGCAGAGTGAAAGTACGTGAGGTCACAATCAGATGGCTGATTGGGTTGCACGTAAACAATGCCACAGCGTCTATCTGATCGTTTTCTAGATTGTTGGTTGTGAGGGTAAGGGTGTTAGCAAAAAAGCTGCCATCGGTCTCAAACTTTCCTATCGCGATTTGTCACGCGAGATAAAAAAAGTTGCTCTGTCTACAACTACACCAAGCAGACATGGAAACAAGCTCACTGGACACATTAGGGAGTGCCCGAGATATCAAGTAACATTTCTACAAAAAAGTTAGTTGATTTGAGTAGACGACCACGTGCGTGGCGATTGAAGCTAACAGATAGTAAGTCGAATTTCCCAGAATTAGCACAATGAGGATTGGTGATTCGGAGTACTGGTATGCAGTCGGATGGAACTAACTTCTGCTTTAAGGCGAACTTCACTGGGGTCAACCTGCTTTTGATTTCCACGAGTCCGCACCCTCTGTAGAGCACGTAACTTTAAGTTTTCTAGGCATAGAGGCGCCAATCTACACATTCCATGGAAGTTGAAAACCTTATGGCTTACCACTCCCTTCTCCCCTTGTCCCCCGCTGCTGTAGGTGACGGCGAGTGTAGACGAACAGGTCTCCGCGTACCAAGGAATGGTACCATGTTCAGAAGCTGAGCTCACTCCCAAGGTGTAGATGCTGTTGGTGTAACCATCGCAGTTGCAGTTGTCGTCGTACTTGCCACCGTTTCCACTTGCCCAAACAAAGATTGAGCCAAGGCCCCCACGACCCTAAAACGGTAGTTAAAAGTCCTGCTACCTTGTCCATTAAAAAATGGCATGGTGAGATGTTGACTCTGGTCGAACTTTATGGTATCGACTGAGAGCATCACATTTGGGCAAAAATGATCATTAGGTCTTGTGAAATATCAAAATTAGGTAACCCATCTTATTGCTTGAGCCTTTGTAGTAAAGGGCGCTGTTTTACAGTCGGAAAATGCAACCTCCTTCAAAACCTACCTGCTGCTATAGAACATGAATATACCTAGGACGAATTGCCTAGCATTTGCGACGCCAGTATGTTTTGGATTTTAATTGGAAAACAAACTTGGACAAAAAGAAATTTAACTACAGATCGGGCTACATGGGGAAAAAGTGCATATTTTAGAAGTTTGGCGACACCACTACTCCATAGAGACTGGTTACAACAAAGCGCTTATGAGAAAGGCAGCAAAAAGCAACGAAATAGCACAGCAATGAGATGTAAATGGCGTGAGATTATGGAAGCATCGATAACCTGGAAACGAATGCCGCGTTTTCGCGTTGCAGAGCACTGGTTACAAGCCCTGCGCGGCATTTGGACCAACGAGGTGTGACTCGGTCATATTGCATAGCTCAGATTTCGAGAATTTTAGGCCAAATGCACCAGATGCTTGCAAGACTGACACGGACGGCACTGTTCGACACGACGACAAATCCGGCCAACAGTTCAACAGTGAGAGTACACTGTCGTTTTATTTGACAGCACACAAGATGTTGACATCGGCGAAGTTGATGAATGACGTGGTTGGACTTAGTTGGGGAGGGAAAATTGTAGGGCTTTCTTTTTGGGTTGTAGAGTTGAGAACTAAGGCAAAATTTTTTCAAAAGCGGGCACAGCCCTAAATTTCAGGCTTCTTGCGTTGTTTGGCACAAGGGAAGTCACATAATCCAGATTATTAAAAGACGCAAGTACTCGAGGATTTGAGTACTTTAAGCTGCTTAATGGATGCAAGAATGACTGTGCCAAACCTCTGTTTTACTTCTAAGTAGGAAGCCTCAAAACGAAACTAAGGTCGAAATGTCTAGGATGTTTGTCTAAGAACAGGCTTTAAGTGTGCAACTTGTACTCAGTGGTCCGACAATGAAGCATGGCTGACAGAAGACGAATGCAAGATCGCATCAAGTTCCGTTGGTTTGAGCAGAAAATAGACGCCACAAACAGGCATGTACAAGGACAGAAAAGGGGGTAAGACAAACCTTGAGGATGCCATTGCGGAAGGCCATCCTAGCGAGTTTTCCAGGTCCATCTACTGTCCTTCCGTCGTCTTCCGGTCCCCAGCTGGCCGAGTAGACGTCTATGTGCTGGAGATTGTGTCCCAGGGAGCGCGACTCCATGGCGTCTGTAACATCTCCATCGAGCATCCGGACACCGCCGATGCGAGCCTTGTAGGCGATCCCCAGACCGCAAATACTGTTGTTCGCTGCTGCCGCAACCTCTCCCGCGCACCGAGTTCCGTGTCGACTAAATTATAAAAACTCCGAGGTATCAGAAGTAGCGGTGGTGGCGATAACAGGTAGGATTTGATGAACGCGCTCATCGACAAAAGGACCCTAGGAGACTGGACTGTGCTTAATGTGGTTAAAACTGGTCATTTCGGTACTGAGCGAACCCGTTCAGGTCACTGCGCCTGGAAAATGTCAAGCCTTGAGGTGATTCTTCCCTCGGACGTAATAAAAATGATCGGATCATAAAATTGCAGGTGTGTGAGGCGCATGAAATGATTCAATAAGACATGGAAAAGTCGGGGGCTGACCGACCAAACGCGAAATAACTGCTTCTGGCGTGATCCAAGTGTTCGATTAACTAAGCAAGATACTGCCACGGTCACCCTACATCCCTGTTAAGAATGTTATTTTAAACAAAATACTAAAATGAATAAAACCACTTAAATTCCACAGATATTTTAGCAACCCGTGTGTAACTGCATGTTTTTGGTCAAATGTTGACTTTGTTTGAATCATCATTCTAAGTGCTTATAATTTTTAGCTGATTTGCTAAATTGAAAACTAATTCGCAAAGTTTTGAAGTGGCAACATTTTTGAAGCTAGGATAATTTTTATCAGTAAAGATTCTTGCATATTCAGACAGTCGAACAAGACCTCACCGCTTCACAATTACGAGGTGCAAAACGCACGACCTCATCGCCAAGAACTCGCGAATGGACTCATGCTTCAATCCAATGCAAACGAACAATCCGCAAAGCGATCTCCACCTTACATTCATCAACTCGTGCTACTTTGGTAAAAAAATATAAGTAGTATCGCATTAACGCCATTGCATTAACGCACAAATACTTTCCTTCCGAAGAAAGCAGAGCGAATGCACGCCCCCCAAGGTATCCTATACGTGTGAATAAACCACATATTCGGTGACCGATATAGGTTAGCTGAAGCGTAAAGGGGTCAGATTTAGGACACCGGTGGCGTACAGCCCTCGGCATATTGCCATCACAGCCATAATTCTCACTCATTTAAAGCAGACACACCAACTATCATGGCGTTCAGCACCCTTACAAAACACCTAATCAATTGATGATACCTAAAGTTTATTATGGAAAGTAGGCCACTCATGTATTCACAAGTGACATGTATTAGGCCTCCTTTGAACAAGGCTGAAAAATACCGATGGTTTTGCTGGAAACATCCGAGGTAGGTTAGCCCCTGAATATATCATGAATATTCCGATTAGCAGAAAGGTTAAGTGCCTGGGACATGATAGTGCTACTCTCCCCCGTCCACTTTAAATTGCCTCAACCAAGGAGAGAGAAGTATTAGAATAAAAATCACTATACTTCATCGGCCAAAAGGGTACAATCTAGTGCAGAAATGTTTACTTTATATTGCGGAAGTCTCGTTCCACGTAACGAGGATCGGGATTTTCGTCGTTGCTGTTGACGTCGAAGGAGGCGTACCTGTCCTAAAACACAATAACAACGAAATTCATTGCATTCAGTTCCTTATCGCCCACAAAGATTAATTTTCCACTGGTACTTGTATTTGAGCTGGAAAACGTGTGCGCGATGTTTGAATTAGTCTGTACTTTAATCTGACAAAGGTGTTTCTCAATATGGGCTATTGCCACTAGCGTTCGTGATTTCACCCGTAATGACTGGCAGCATGTATAGCCAAGAAACCTGACATCGCGTGTCAACCAATGGGTAAGACACACTGGCAGCTGACTGCCAGGCAATGTGGCCATAATTTATACCCTTAAAGCAAACCGCGTTGGTGCACACGGTAAAGTGGGCATTCTTTCAAGTAGATGCAGCCCGTCACGAACATAATTGATCTCGGTGTAAAGTAGGTCTTGTGGAGCACCGCAAACAGACCGAATCGATTGTAAGGCAAAACCCACGGCGGGTTTAAGCAGTAACCACGATGCTGTTTCGCCTCCTGTTAAGTCGGTGGTGGAAGCCCTGCGCGCGTCCCGAATATGCGCGCGCGTGTGTGATTAATTCACCCCGAAGCGGCCCCGGCTACCCGGTGTGAATAATCATGCCTCGTAGGGATATTGATAGTCGCCGTCGTTAGTGGATGCCGTTACTGTCGTTTACTGCGGACTTGTCGAACCGGCAGCACTTGGATTGTGCGATAGGCTTTCATAGAGCCGTGCTGTGGCACACAGACCACCATCAGCGCTCCCACAATGCGCCTTTCGTCCTGCAAACCACAATCCCTCTGCCTACTACATTACACTTTGGAACACAATTAAAGTTGGGCCGCATATGTCTAGTCTAGTTAGTTCTACACTTAAACTTCCTTTATTTTAATTGGTATACAAACGAGGGGGTTTTCAATAATGCTAAGCGAGGTTATAATGTAATGAGGATTGCGGTTAGTGAAAACTCCCAGTGTCTAGTACGAATCTTCGGTGAAACACACATTACGAAGGGCAGTTCATTCGAAAAAGGGCAACCTATCGGACGAAAATGTCAATTAAAAAGTGCTGTTTTCAGGTCTAATCCAACCGAAGCGAAAAAGCATCAACGCACCACCCTTTAAACGTAGTTGCGGTGTTAAAAACGAGGCCACCCACACACTTACCCACCCACATCACGTGCGGCCCAGACGGAATGCGTTCAAATGTCATATCAACGTCGTGATAATTCAGGTGTGTAAGGTCAGTCCGGGTCAATTTTTTGCTCATTTACATTTGCGCCGTTAAACAAACATCATGATTACGACTGGGGTAAAATGGAGTGGTCAAGTTGCAGCCAATATAGTAATAAAATCTAGAAAAAAGATATTTCTCTCGAGTATCCAGACTCTGCTAGACGTTACGTTGGATTTGTTGACCAGTCAGACACGTGAAGTCGCGTGGTGATTGCAATTAAAGGCGAGACTTAGCTTAGCGCAAACACTAAGCCACAATCAAAGTTATGACGAAAGACGTGAACGCAGGGCTAGGGGAACATCGATTAGAAAGCCATAAAACCCAAATTATACGGGTTTATTTCGAAGTCACAAATAGTTCTAGTCAGAAAAACAACCTTAATATATGGCAGCCGGCCACATGACTTGTTTTCAAAACATTCGGTCAGCATTAATTTTGAGGAAACAGTTTCATTGAGAAATGACCCATAGACAATCAATAGGAGAATGTACAATCCTACAAGGTGTATTCCACAGTAGCATTAATTAGGTTCGTACATTACAACTGTTTGGGATTCATTGGACTAAATACCTTAGATGCAATTTGTGAATTTAGTTTAGCATGATACAGGATACAAGGGCATCGCTCAGTCACATCCAAAGGTATAAACCAGATGGGAAGTTTTTGAGGCGGAAACGATTGACACTGCAAACCAAAACACACTACCACTAATTCGAAATGGCAGATTTTAATAAACTAAAATGGGTTCCGCATCATCCCACCATCACCAATACCCAGCCGGCGAAACCACAATAGCATTTTTATGGTGAATCGGAGGAAACAATGCAGTGCCCCACAGTGGCACCGCATCAACGCCAATTTTAGCAGAACACGGTAGAAGAAGTCGACGAATTAAGCACTGTTTGAGTTTTTTGAAACAACCACACAAACTTTTAGTGCGTGTTTACATTAGTCAGTGTGTCGGATGAAGCAGGCGGATGTTGGGCACGCAGCCCATGCAGTGCCCTACAACGAGGCCTCGTAGACAAGGCTACCGAAACGTGACTTTCCCACTCGATCCAGGGTTCTGACGAGTTTGCAAACCTGTTCCGCTTTGACCCTGCAGTTAAGCCTTCCCAATGTCGGCTGGACTGTCATACTTTTGTCCCAAATCACTCACCTGAATACGTCAACATGTCTGTCAGCGAAGCCAGCACCGTAATCTGTCTGCATTTTGAATTGATGAGACAGCAAGGCATCAGCGAACATATTTACACAGACTCATTGTCTGTCGCTCTTATTGAGTAACGTCTAGATTTTCCTGAGGGAGGTCTGATGAGCAACTGTCACCAACAGACCTTCCCTCAACTGTTATTTCGCGCTGTCGTCTATTTATCAGGTAGGTTTCACAGTGTGGACGATTGTGTTCGAAAGAATTAGACTCCGCAGCTGTGACTCTAGCCACGCAGCTGTAAACTTGCTCAAAAACGCCACTGGAGTGCGTCTTAGTGAGACGGGAAATTCTATTGTTGGAAATTAGCTAGTCGGTTTCGGAATTGTATTCTTTTTTATTCAATGAAAGTGGGAAGGAAAACCGGTTGAGATGACCTTCAGTTTTATAAGGTTTTCAGTTGCAACGCACAGATTAGTATATTTACCGTCAAATCAGATATATTGGCATGGCCCAGACATTAAAAGCAATCTAGAATAAGGGGAACTCTACAATCAAAAATTCTTATGACGAACCAGGATTTTTGAGACGGCTGGAATTACTAAAAAAAATATCAAACAAGGAATACCTGAAGGCTCAGGATAAATTGGCCATGCTTCAAAAAATCAAAAACCGAAAGATTCCTGTTTTCTCTCCAAAAAATAAGTGGCAGGCAAGAATTCCCACGACATAGCCCAGTGGGAAACCAAGGGTTTCCCCAAGGGCAAGTGAAGACTCCAAAAACTGACATGGACTGGGAATGTCTGCGGCGGTTGGGAGCGCATTTCGGAAATATGTGAAATTCTACCCGTTTCAGGGTGTGACCTTTAGGGGGCATTAGTTTCCGTGCGGAATTCGAATACCAGACACAAACGCACAAATTCTGAAGTCACCATAGTTTCTGACTTTTGGAGGGGAACCTTCGGCTGCGAGACCGACACCTACCAACGTATCTTCGTTGCAGACGTCGCCGACGACGACGAAGTCGTTCGGGGACAAATAAAACAACAAGTAGGAAAACATCACTAGTTTTGTGTGATAATTTTGCACAGGAGGCCGTAAGCAACTTCATCTGAACATAAAAGTTTATCCTAGGAAAAAAATCTGGAAGAAGTGGACCAACCAGCTCACGAATTGCATGAAAAAACGTTGTGCAAGACCCAGGGTTATGAGGATGGTAGTTGTTCCTCTCACCCTTGAAGAAGCTGTGAGTATTGTGTAAATCAGGACTTAGTACTTATTTGATCACCAAGACTGAATGAAAAGAACATAGGTTTATTGATCAGTGAAAAGATCTAATGGGTGTTCTTTCAGCTAGACGAGTTGCACACGATGGAACTGGTCGCTTGACCGAAAGCAAATATAAAAAATGAAAAGTACAGCCACAAAAAGGAGTCCAGTGTGCAAACTCCAGAGGGAGTAGACCCTAGGGAAGCGGTAAAAGCTATTGCTACCACTTACAGAAAACAATACGTTCTGAATTGACAAATTTATTTCAAAATAGGGCCACACGAAATTGATGTCCTGACGAGCAAAAGGTGAGCACGAGGGGAGATTTACGCCTACGTCTGAACATCCAAAAGTCCACACAAAGATGACAGGCAGACTTTCCTGATGACGAAAACGAGACAGTCGTTTAGACGCATTTGCATTGAGACATAATTTAGTTATGGCGTGATGGAGAGAGCTGGCTAATGACCTCACGGTCCAAGGTTGGCTTCCAGGCCATTTGACATTAATGTGGCTGGTCTGCTACGAGCCTAGTCGAGTTGTGCATTAGGAGGATGTCAACTAGGTTGAAGCAGCGCACAACAGATTCGACCTGAGTCTTCAAAAACCTCCAACTACACACGTTCCTGCGTTTTTGTGTCTGGGCACGCTAGGCAACTGCCAGAGCGTAGGAATATTAATTATGTACACTGATGAGGATACGACATCGGCATTAATTAATTTCAAACAGTTTAACCTAACTGCGCAATTAGGTTGAGTGAAGCACAATAGTGAAAATTGTGGCAGTCAAACACAAAGTAATGCGATGGAACCGAAATTCCTCTGAATGGTAGTCCGTAGACTGATTCTATCAGGCTTACAAGTCGACAGAAGTTGGGGATGAAGAAAGCAATCTGGCCATGGGACTTGTGACGATAAAAAGATGAACTTGTCTGACTTTGCATGCGAACAAATCTAGAACCAGTATCAATGCGCTAAGGGTTAGGGTTGGTCGGATCAACGAAATGATAGGAAGGAAGCTCGTTCCCTACCAGGGGACAACTGGATCCGCAGATCTGTAAATTGTCGGGAGTCAACGACACATCTCGATGTGGTGCTTGTTTAGCTGTGGGCACACACACACACCCGGTGTTCCCTTTAAATGTTTTTTTCCAAAATAATCGTTTTCTGTTTTGCATTAAATTAAAGATCTACCTCACGCACGTGGGAACACATTGGATTACAAGATGGGACGTGATAAATACTTACAAGGACCACCCTACTCATTCACTTATCGGTACAAGTCAATGTATATTTGAAACAATGAGGAGAAGCAATGTGGGTGGTGACTTCCCAGATGCAATTTTTTTACCTTAAAGTAAATCTTTTGGTTCCTATTAGCCGCATTTAATTGCTAATCGGTTTCATGAAAGAGATTGCAATATAACTTTGGTGGATTCGGACACTTACAACCTTCGTCAGGGTCGGAAGCACAATAAGCAGTAGAAGACGCAAAGGCAAAGACCTTAAAATTTTATTTCAAAATTAAGTCATAAAAATTAGCATTTTTGGATGTGAAATGAGAGAAAAGCGGTTTAATTATGCGTTTTGACATCGCTATGACTTGTGACTTGCATCAAACTTGTGCGGCCAACTCTAACTTCAGAGTTTCATGAGAAAGACAATTGTTTACAGTTGTGACTTAATTTAAAACAAACTGTTTGCTTACATTCTGTTTACGAGAACAATCACAGGTTAAAATGTCAATGCAAGGTCGGTAAGGACAATAGCTCTGTAGATATCAATGCATCGCCAGATGTCAAATGAGATGAATTCAAAACCATTTGAAAGGCAGGGTTTCAAGAAAACGGAGGGTATTGGTTGAGAATAATTCTATATTCTAGATGAAAGAGTGAACAATTGATGGCATGGGTTTAGTTTTCAACACATTTATTGATTTTACCGAAGCAGTGTCTAAGTCTTGAAAAAACCCACTTTGTCAAATCTGATACAAATTCTTTAAAACTGAAACATCACCAGGAGATCAGGTCAAATTTCCAAAAAAAACAGTGCAGCGATCAGAAAGAATTATAATTTCTGATAAAGCTGAAAAGATGGACTTAGTAGCTCAAGAAATAGTCGTCCAGAAGGACACGTGTGTGCAGGTGTTAGATCTGTGAAGACACGAGAATATTTCATGGGAATCACACTGCCATCACACCTATATTCACCTTACCAGCCAAATACGTGCAAAATTGATGCGTTTTACTAGGGCCATACACAAAAATGGGCTACCGTAAGGGTTTCAACTAGCCGTACGTAAAGAAAAATGAGTAGACGAAGGCAGTGTTGACTAGACCGCATAAAATGATCCGAAAATGCAAGATAATGAGGCGGAGTTACTACAAGTGATTAAATTTGAAATTCCAAGAAACATGTTTACCACACAACGCCTCCGCTGAAGAAGTTTGTGCGATAGCGGACACAATTATTCCTGGTCAATCTTCACCACAACGGACCTTGGATCCTAACCGTGGAATATCAATCAATGCGTTTACTTGCGTTGCCAAGGCAACCGACTATTTCACTAAAGATCCCCTCTTAGAGAAGCTGAAATGACCTAGCAGCATTCATAATATTACGAGGCTTGAAAAAGTAAGAACTTCATGCCAAACTGCTCCCTGGCTATGACGAATGAAAATATGAGTGAATATTTCTTTAATTTAAACGAAAAAATCACGATAATAACAATTTATTCTGCCCCAAGCCCTTCAGTAGGAAATTAAAGTGTCGAGCAATGGCAAGCTTCACAAGGCTTCAGCGTAATGAGCCACAGATTTCAAAACAGGAATGTCCACTACTTGTTGTAACAAAATGCAATACATGCTAGACATGGGAAACTCACATAGTTCGGCTTGAGATCGGGATGGTCTGTCTCCAGTCCGTCGTCGAGGATGGTAACCACGACGCCCTGGCCCGCGTAGCCCCTTGCCCAGACCGACCGGACATTCATATCTATACCTCCGGGTCCACCTCGATTCTGCCAAAAAAAAGAATTTGCGAATTTAGCGGACCACAAAGCGCTGGACGTCAAAGGTGTGGGGAAATTCGCGTCAACGGCACCAACAGCTTCTCGGTGATGCTTAAAACAAACACGTGTATTGTTTTTTTGCAATGCTTGCCAATTGCCTAGCTATTATGGACTTTGTAAAGTGTTTCGCAGTGCCTCTGCTTGCTGTTATTGCTCTTCGACGAACTCTTAATTGCCCATGTAATCCGCATACTTTTGGATGAAACGCAACAACGTGGAGAGCAGAGATATAACTATTGTAAGCACAGACACCAAACCGCTAATGCCTCGTATTACAACAACACCAGATCCTATTGACTTGGTGTTGGATCAATTCATGTCCTCTGTTTTAAAGGCTGTCTTTTTCAGTAGCATAATATTTAAGGCAACTTCCAGCAGTCGATTTTCTTAAACCAAGGAAACAGCCTCAGTCGGTAGACATGAAAAGGAATTTTTTATTAAAAGTAAGTACTTCGCGTGCATGAAAGCAAACTTTTATGGCGCCATAGTTTTAAGTGAAAATTCGACACGCCTTTCCATTTGCAGCGGCTTACGGCGTTTTAGGTCGCAAAGCAAAATATATCAGGGAGCCCCTTATAAATACTGAGAGTCAAAAAATTGCCCTACTTTCAAATCAGAAAAAATTGGGCGAGGAACCTATGTACGCGAACACGAAAGTCATTTTTGATTAATTTGACGACAGACGCAACATTGTGCTAATATTTTCACATAGTCTAATTGCTTCTGGCTGAGTTACGAAAGCAGATACGTCTCCAACAGTTAAGGCGTAATTTTGGGCACTAGTGCAAGCGACAGAAAGCTGTAGGCGGCCAAGTAAGCACGTTGAGTAAGCACTTGTGGTTCTTTGACTACCTCTGAGGTAATTTATGGGCAATATGGGCACTGGGCTGACTTGACAGTGGGGTGCTGTTGGAAAACATTTCCCGCCAATCAGTTTGCCAGTAAATTCTGCCAGCAGTTCATGAAAACCCACCTCAAGCCCATTCTGTTGATGTCAATAACATAAGCCTCTAATATTTCATTTTTAAGGCCGCTCTAGATTGTGGGTAAAGAAAAATTCAAAAAAAAATATTTACCGATTTATAAAAAGAATTTCTTGTTTTATTCGACAGGAACATTTATCGTACGAAGATTAGCACAACGAGTGGCAGTTGACATCGTAACGTGGACAGATTTCATTACTCTAGATTGCGCAAAGGGCTTCCCTTATCTCACCGTGTTTTGCAATTTTGGAAATAGCACATTTCTAATCGCCATAGTTCCATTCAATTTTTTTTTCGAAAATGCGCGCATCTGGAATTTCGAATATTTAATTGCGTGCACATTGGCAGGCGAACAGAAGTTCAAACCTTGCATACGAGTTAAAATATCCGCACGAAATCATCAACATCGGTAGCATGTTGGTGGTCACTTTTGCTTCTATAAGGATTAACCTTCAAGTGAGATAGTTTTTAGGAAGGCATAATCAAAAAAACCAGAAAAAAAGAGTACAGGAAATGGCTTAAGTAAAATTTTAAATATCAATTAGCCTTAGAGCTATTCAATGTAAATTCCCAATGTTAATTTAGCGTGAAATCAAGTTAGGGCTGAAGTGTCGTGCACGTATTTTTGCCGCTAAGTGTAGCATTCGAAATTTTACTTTAATTGCTTAAAAATTGGCCAGTGCTACACAGATTTATGGCACGTCGTGTTGAAAAAAATCTGCTTTTATCCTGGAGCTGAATTTAGCCCTTGGATCTTTTGACTCTGGGTTCACGCAATGCGTAAATTGATTCGCTCATGCTTATATGGACACAATTAAAATTGCGCAAATGAGAAACTGTGTGTCTAAAGTGCATCTCACATGCAACGTAAGGATTCGCGCACGACTAACTGAGGAAGCCGAAGCAGATTGATTCCTAGAGTAATGAAGAAAAACGTTTCGAGTCAAGAAACACGTGTGTCTTCCTCTGAAACTCACAGCGGGGGAAGGCAGTGGTGGCAAATAATTTATGCCATGACAGTAACCAATGTACTAAGACACGATTTTTTTAATTTCTACACTTCGATAATAAGAGGTGGTGAAATAAAGACACCATCATTCTTAAAAACCGCAAAATGCGCTTTCAAAGATGTCCTATATTTGAAATTCAACCACGACCGAGTTGAAAATTGAGGAATTTTGAAGTGGCGTTTTGGCAACCCGCATACAGACAACTACAGAAGATGGCATGTGGATGATTTCTTGTTGTTATCCAATTAACAGGGACATTGCACAAAAATGAGGCCAGCAGTAGAACAAGTGATGGACGGCCCACGAGCTGAGGGTCCTTTTTGACTTCACCTCCGAAAAGTGCAACCTTTTAAGCAACCTAGGCCGAACGCGGTTCCATGCCTGATGGTGCATGAAGTGCGGTTGAATTGAAGTCCAGACAAGATAAGTGGCAATTAATCGCAAAGGGAGATAGGAGTTCCATGTTTTTAAGATTGAGCAACTGTGCTCCTAAGAAATTTCCCATACAAAGCGGTTTCACGTGGCTAGATAACGCGGAATTCTTGAAGGTTTTAAAGGATGTGTCGAAGAACAAATAAACTGGGGTGCTGGAGGCCACTGGTCTGCCTAGGTGTTACTGGGGCTAGGCTAGACATGAAGCCCCGTCTTCAAGGGATTGCCTGCATCCAGTCACGGAGGGGGGAGAGGGGACCGGTCTGAGTCACCTCAAAACTCAAATTCAGACAGATGACGAATTTGTGCAAGTACGTCGTGTTAGAGAGGCGCACTGCCCCAACGAGATGCCAACTTCCGCCCGGGACACGTAAAAAATTGCCCATGTTGTGGAATTACACAACGCTTTGATGTACCTGTCGAACTAGTGGATAAAATTTTGACGCGTGACGGGTTAAAAGGCACGTAACGAGTACGGTGGTTGCAAATCCAATTAATTATTCTTATAGAGAATATCAGACAACTGGTTTTGAACTCGATTGAAAGACACTTTGTAGGAGAACTGTTTATTATCTAGAACCAAATTTTTTTACGCTCGAAGTTTCCCTTTTTGAGTGAAGCGAGCACATGAGCTTGAACATGAGTGTTTTAATTTAGCGTCACAAATGTCAGATCAAAGCTAGCGATTCAAAAATCTTGTCAAAATGTCCGAAGGAAGAATTTTTGGTACGTTGTTTGTTGTCTTCACTGTGAAAGATTGCCGTTTGACTTCACGACACCGCATCAAGGTGGGCAACAAAATGTGCTGTAACCTACGAACTTCACTTCTCGAGTCGTTTACAAGCACACCAATGAACCACCTAATCGAAAAACAGTAAGAGATACACGCCAAGTTGTTGATTAGGTCCCCCAGGTTAAATAGACCACGTCAATGAATACTTTGCGGTCTTTCCTTGGGCGCGGAGGGATTCAGTGAGTTCCCATAGGTTGTAAATTGAAAAGCTGAGCCATTTTCTTATGGGAAATAGGCAAAATCTGAAAGCCTAGATCTTTTCAAAACAGGGTTTTTTAATCAGGTTAACATTCGTCGTGTTAGCTTAATCCAAAAAACATCGGATTAAAGCCAACTTTGACTAGTGATATGGCTTCAAAGATAAGAAAGGAACGTACTAGGTACCACATTCGGGGCCAACTTGGGTCGTTTGGAGGCGGCTGGTAAATATCGCGTTTCACACGAACCTTCGCGACTTGCTGTTCCACCCACCGAACCTGCAGGCAAAAAAGAAACAGCCAATTACATTGTTCAAGGTCAACACGTGAATGACTAGAAGGTGTTAGCATGATGCCCTGAAGGCATCCGATTTCTGTTGGTACGGAAACTTGAGCCCCAGCTGGTCTGTGACGTCTGTTATCAAATTGATGGACTGAATGCTAATTAGCCAGCATTATTGGTGCAATTTAAGCAAACAGCCACCCCGCAATCAGTGCGAAAAAAGCCAACCCAGCAAACGAAGCGTTTTTTTTCTCAACAGGACTGTACCTGCCGTTACACAGGCTGCCAAAACAGTCACCTTGCTGCATTTCTAAGAAAAAAACAGCCAGCAATAAATGATAAAAATTGGCGAGTTTTTTTTTATAAAAATAACTAGTGCCCCCCCCTTCCTCCTTCAGCGGCTAGACACTGGTGAGATCAGATGGTCTTGTCTTGAAAACTGCACAGTACGGAATGGGGCCTGCAATTTAAACAATACGAAGAGCGCACTTCAAAAAAGTGGAAGTAATGTGAATTATGCAATGACCCGTCCCTACGGCTGAATGGTTTGCTGTTTTGACAGGATGGCCTCGGTTGGTAAGACAGGGAGACGTGAATTATTCAAAACAACTGTCACCAAATTCGGGACAGCAGCAAAACAAGGTACACGAAATCCTAACAGTCGTGAAAGTGCTGTCCAGTCCTTACTAACCTACATTCGTCGACATTCCCGTGTTTAGAATTTCTAGGCATTTTTCAGTTCGTCGATCTGGCATTATAATTCTGAACGAAATTCACTGAGATAATGCCAAAACAAAAAAACGGTTGGACCTAGGAATCAACGGGCGACAAGAGGCTTCTTCTAGCTTGATTTGAGACGACTTGTCTAAAATTGGAAGACCCCAGAAGACAGCTCCTGATTGATGTAAACAAACGGTGGGAACGAAAACTGGAAGAAGTGGAATCAGTGGACCAAAAACATGGGGAGTGATGAAGCCACTGAATCCACCCTTGCATACACTGAATGGCAATCGATCAGTTAAGTAAGTCGTTTTCTCTAAAGACAAGCGATGTAATAAACGGCTATTTGACCGAAGTTATAAAAAAAAATTAGAATGGAGAACCCTGGATAACTCAAGGGTCGAATGAGAGTCTGAAGGCAGAAATCAACGAGAAAATGCCTCACGGCACTAATGAGACGCAGGAATAAGTTAGCATCGAGCGACCGTCACTTATGGACACAAACACACAGGAGACAGTCCTGATGTGGGCAAGAACTGGTGTTTGAAGTCTCGACTGTGGTCTCGAAAGTCAGTCAAAGAGCATCCTTGTAATTGTAGCTTATTAACTGCACCGACAAAGTAATACATTACCCCTTCACAAAGGATATTAACTGGAACGGTTATTAGCATAAGCTGAATAAGCTGGAAATCCGTTTAACATGAAGTTCTAGAGGCGGCAAACACGTGTTCACACGCCGGGTTGGCTGCATTCTGTATAAGCATTTCAGCCGCTGTGACAAAACAGAACGCTAAGACACAGAAATGGCTAGTTTAGTTTGTAAAACGCTTTAAAGCGCAATAGATTACGAAAATCTCACAAAAAAGGACTATAAGATGGAGAAACTTTCAATGCTAGAAGTCACCAGTAATTAGTGGGATGCCGTAAAGTTGGATAAAAAAATCATTTAAAGTTCAGTATTTCGTGGATACGACCAAAATGTCCTGTTCATGACCACAATGACCATTACTTCGAAACCGGTCCTTGATTATTGCCTGACGAACGAATCTAAACGTGGGGTACAATCAAGGATTGCCTCTTATTGTTGGCATTTTAGTCGAAATCCTTTAAAGATCATTGATGAATTACCAGTCCTAGGTATTCGTGTGAGGCTGGACCGACAACGCGCTGGCGGTTGAAGTGCAAAAGCAGTCGAAAAACTAGGACTCCTTGCGACCATGCCAAACAAACGAGACACCACGCCGAATGCGCTTTAAAATTTGGCGTACCCACTACGGGCAACAGTTTATCACCGGAACGTGTCTAAGAAGCACACCATTTCGAGTTCAGCGGCTGTCTAGAGTTGTGTTGGTGCATAGAATGGTGGTAGCATTGATGGATTTGTTACTTCGTTAGAAAAAATACTTTGTACGGTTCGTGCAGTATTCTGTAACGAGATTTCTCAGACATGGTGGCAGACATCTGGTGCGGCCACTGTTCCCCTTCCTCTTGGATCCAGTCTAAATGCTTGCAACATGCAGTCCAGACTGTCATCGCTCACTCCCATACATTCCCTCAACACGTTGCAGACGTTCCATGTGATTGCAAAACATGTCCTAGTCTAAATGTGGTTTACGGCAACTTACTAATCCGAAACTCATTAAATCTGTTGCTTCAAATGTATTACAGCCCCCAGAATGGGAATATAATCCACATTGGTATCGGACTTTGATCACCAAAAGCGACATGTTTTAGCCCTTCATGATCGTAGAGCAAGCCATGTAACTGTTCAGAGAATAGACAGGTGGTGAATTCCTGGTTAAAGGATAGTGAACCAGGGTAGCAAAATCACCACATAACCATAGCATGTGATACCAAGCATCAACATTGTGACATTAAAAAAAGCAACAGTTGAGTTGTTACAATGAGATCTTAAACAAATCGTTCTAGGGGAAGCAGCTACACGGCAATTTATTGTGCTACAAGTTATCCCAGGTGCCATTCAAACGGCGTTGCTTGAGGTTAAACCAGAAGAAATCTGTGAGACTTGTATACGTGCCTCTGTGTGTGCAAATAGTGAGAGTTGTGGAAACAGGACAATGAAAGGGACCACTTTTATTCACGAATGTGTAGATTGTAGGAGGGGCCATTGTTAATAAAACTCAAATGCGGCAACCGTCTAGATGACGGCCAATTTGAAGACGGTCACAAAATGAGGGGTAGCGAAATAAGGGCAGGACAATAAGTTCAGGGTATCGAAATCGATAAAGAGGAAGTGACAGCTTCCAATCGCCTCTGTTTGAAAAAGCAGATATCTTGTAAGTACGCTATAAACCAAACTAAAACTCTGAATGGAGTCGAAAATTGGTGTGTGGAATGAGCTTTTGGAACTACAGGAAATACAGATTTTACCAATTTAATTCTACAGCCTAATTCACGCACAGCATTAGGGACAAAATGCAAGCGTTCAATTCAGCCAAAGCCCTGCACGGTTTTTCATTATTTCTGTGCGTCCCCAGATACTTTCATTAGTCGAGTGGATTTGAGCAATCCAACTATTAATTAATCCACTAGTCAATATACTACGAATAGGCAACAAAAGCATCAATATTCAATAAAGCAACGAAGGTGGGCAAATTTGGTCGATGGATTGGTCAGTTGACAGATGCTACAAGGAAGTCTTCTAACGACGTAATTCGTTGAGAAGAGAACAGTTTCCTGCCTGTTCAGCTGCAAAAAGGTACTCATTTTAGTACATGAAAGCGTAACTGCAAGTCTATTGAAAATAAATGTTTGAACTGGACTGAAAACCAGAATTTTCTTCCACAAAGACGAGAGAAACTATTAAAACCGAGTCCTTAATTTCCTTGACAGCAAACAATTGGAGGCGGAAGAATATGAGGCGGACTGGACAGCAAGCTGGGAAAGCAATCGAATAGCCACACAAAATCGCTTTAACTGTTAAATTTTGAGAATCAGATAAGTACTAAATTGAGTTCCGAACGCGTAACCACGACTACTGTCACATGCGATCTCAAATACGATCGTCATTTCAGAGACTAGTAAAGTTTAATCACTTTCAGAATATATCACAATGTTAAGTGTTTATTAGGGAGGTAACACTACCAGCCAAAGGGCTTCCATACCGAATTATGCATTCGAGAAGATAAATTTGCTAAAATGCCTCAAAAATAACAGCGAAACCAGTGACCAATCAGTGGAGGCAACTCAAACGTGGCTAATGCCGTTTGTCCTCAAAATGTGAATCAAGGTCAAGTCGATCCACCGAAGCCAATGGCGACGTTTTGGTGGTCTTGATTCCACAAAACCCACGAAGCATAACGAGGCAGAAGGAAAGTTAAACACCTTACAATGCTTTGAATAGACGTGGAGTTAAAATTGGTTTTTCTAAAAGCTAGGGATTGGTCCGGGAGTTGGAGTATTTAAAACCCAACTTTTAAACACGATGAATCAACTTGCGTCAAAAATTGTGGGAGTACTTTTTTTTAAAAAAAAATATCGAGATTGACGCTGTCAGGCTAATTTGGTTAAATGTAAAAAAAGCTGGCATATTTTAAAGGACGAGACTTCAAAGCCTTTCTAGGTGTAACAAAATATATTGCCGCGCCAATCTGAAAGGGACAATAGACATGGGGAACAATGCAAATCGAGGCAATGCAGGTGGCCGGTAGATGCGACCTCACTTCAAAGGTCAAACGGAGAGAGCAGTGGGTAAATTTGCCGATTATGTTAATCAAGGGGGGTTCTAGAAACCAATGCGCCAACGTCATTCTCCGTCAAATTAGCTCGGTTTAATTATTAAAAGACGGAATTTCGAGGACATGGGATAGACTAGTGGACGATATTGTGTCTTTTCATGGCAAAATGGCGTTAATCTCGCATCGATTAATAAAACACAAAACTTTCGTGCACATTTTCGAAATTTTAGACTGCTGATAAAAAATGTGAAATTATCACTTTTAAGTGGATCAAGAAAGATCAGTTAGAGTTAATCCGCCCTCCACTATGCACACGAATTTAAAAACCTGTCCAATCACTGACTTCCATGATTTTGGATTGCAGACGCCTTTTCGACCACAATATTGTGCACCTTGGAATATCCAGAAGTTATCAATTTAGGTAACTGCAATCTATTTACGAATTTTAACCCACACAGTAAGCGTAAAAGTGGAGGCACATTTGAAAGTAGGAAATGCTTAAACAATGTCAAATTGGTTAGCTTGCAGTTAATCTACCCCACACACTACACCTTGTCGTTTTTTTTTAATATTGACGCCAGATAATTTGTAGATTTTGTTGATTTGCAGACAATTTGTATGATTCCAAATGACCCAAACTACGGAGCCTTCTGTGGTTCCACGTGTGCATGGAATGAAGATGGGATCCTCTTAACAACGACGGCTGTTACTAGAAGTTCGTGACAAGGAAACTAAGTTTGCAAAAGTTGCCCTAGCCATCGTAAACTTATTACCAATAAAAGACGGGTAAAATACAATGCCACCGAAAAAAACGGAGGTGGAAATGGCCGAGCACACGAAGATGGAGGAATTTGAATGAAATCAGCCTCTTAACGATTGACTATCAAGTCCCGACGCCGTTTCTACGTCTTCGATTGAGTTAGCTTTTACAGTACTCGAACGCAGCTTTAGTTGGTTGCCGACTGGGGTTTACCAGCGTTTCCTGTTCGACATCCAATGTTAAATAAGTTACTCCACTGAAACAGCCTTCACATGGTCGCCTATCCTTAATTTGATCTATTTGATGAAAAAAAACTTGCAAAACATGACAAAAATGAACTAACAGGAGAACAGGACTTCAATAAGGCTTAGGAAATATCTCTAGTTATCAACCATTGAACAGTTTCGCAGGTTAACCAGGTGGTATAAACATACACTGAAGCACCGTTCCATTATTTATTTGCTCTAAGAGAGAGGGTATGAGATTAATCAATGTTGAGACATCAACAAGATGAAAGAAGAAACTTTGAACCAGAGCTCATTAGGGTTTTAAATTGAAGTTAAAAATTAAATAAATAGAACAAAATTTCAAGCATTTCTAAGGTTTCTTGCAGTGTTATGGACGCTTGAATTGAATCACTGAACAGATTAGTACAAACTGCCTCTGTGCCTGCCAATGAAGCAGACGTATTAGCACATTAATATTTTAAGAGCATAATTCCTTCTTTGTAAATTATGCATAGAATGATTTGATTGTCTCGTGGTGGAAAAACGATGCATATTTTCCAAAATAGAAAAAATTTCCTGAATATTGCGTGTGGTAGTACATCCCGGAGTTAACTCAGATTCGATTCAGAATATTTAAACTACACGCAATGTAAGATCAAATGTGATAAGCCATGACTCAGAAAATACCATATGAAGCAAACAATATTATAGTCAAATAATTTGAAATGCATTTTTTTTACAAAAAATGAGGCCAAAACAATGTATGCCTGGCGAAATGCTTCAGGCATTTGAAACAACTACTGATGTCGTCATTACTTGGCTAATTTTTGAACGATCAAGTGGTAAAACTTTATAATCTATGCGCATATCATTTTTATGTGTTACGCGAAAGAGCTAGTACTTGTTGAAACTAATCAGTGAATTTTATGACTGAAAAAGAAAATTTTTAAGCAGTAAGTGAGTAAAGCTAGCGACAATAACGCCAGCAAATGTGCAGACTTAGTTCAGTCTCGAAAAATAAAACAGCAACCATAATTACATTTTGAAAGACTTTGTCAATGTTATGTTTACCACTCCCAGACAAAGGACAAATTAAACGAAGGCATATTTTGGTTGGATTAACAGCAAGACAAAATGAGGTAAAAATCAGCGAAATGTATTCGGGACCAAAGTGCGCAATTAAAACGAGTTAACCAAACAAAAATACCAAAAAAGGTTTGCAAATTTAAATGAGAATGGTAACTCACTTTTCGATCGAAATAAAGCTGATTTTGATGAAATAAATTCTGATGAGGCGATCTCTTTGCTACCCTTTGATGTTTGAAATGGTAAATTCCAGGCATAATCTACATAAAAGGTAATTTTGTTGCGATGAAAATGTCAAAACGTATACGACGCAAGATACAAGGGAGACAAAAAGGAGCTATTTATCTGACCAAAACAATTTAACTGGAAGAGGTTTTGAATAAGATTATGAATTTAATTATTTAATTTGAGTACGTAAATTGCATACCTAGCGCCTTTAGCAGTATCCACGATATCCAGATAAAAGGATTATCACTGGTTATTAGATGCAATGGTGATAATTATACACCGCACCATTTGCAACAAAGAAAAAAACGCGATCTTGTCTTGTCAAATTAGGGTGGCGATCAATGCATTCTTAAAGGGTCAATATAATATCCTAAAAATATTTCAGAAGGTCAAACTAAGTACGTAGGAGTTTTAATAAATGGTGAACAATTATATGTGTGAAGGTCCATCACCAAATTGGGTATTCTAACGTCAAAGGACTAAGAAAGCACTTCGTATACGCAAGAAAACTGATCCCATTATAAGCTGCGAGAACAAATTTCCAAACTTACCTCACCAAGGTAAATGAATCCATATTTACTGGCTAGATCTTTTGCAGCTTCTTCACCGCCATCAATTTGAGCAGCCCAGTAGGGTGTAAAGCGTTTGCCAGATTGTCGGCCTCTGGTAGAAGAAATCGTTCGATGTTCATCTAAGGAGCGCTGATACTCTTTCGACACTTCAAGTGGTGAGGTTATCGCAGATGTGGCCGAATCCATTAGCAACATGTTGGACAAAATTACAGTGCAAAGCCACGTAAGGGCAAAAGCAGGCTTTTTTGTGCTTATTCGTTTAGCTATGCAACAAGTGTCAAAAAAATAGGGGAGCATGTATAGATCAATTCCAACAATTTATTCAAGTCGCAATTATATCATGACACAAACTATCTGATATGACAGCTTATGTTCAAACTGTGTCAAAGAAACGTCAAAACATGAAAATCAAAATATAACTTCAGTTGACGCAAGAGACAACCTCGGGGATGCTGTCATCAATTAAAGGCAAAGAAAAGTACATAAGGACATATTTGAATAGATGACCTGATTATACTGCATATCTTTTTACGGATTAAAACAAATTACTACCTTATCCTGCAAATTGCACAAATCATGCAAATTCTATTTAAGTATCTAATGTTTCGTGAATACATTTCTTTTTTTCGTTTAGTTATTTAATACATGTTTTAAACTGAGTCCTTTAATAAGATCATTAAATCTCGAAAATGAAAACAATAAGCAACCGGGATGTTTTTAATTTAGCAATATCGACTGCACCATAATGTTATTATAGCCTAAGCTAAAGGTAAAATTTTGCATGAAAATCCATGGAAGATTTCTCAACATTTCAATCCAAAGCGCATAGTAGCTTAAGCACCAAATCTACAAATGCATACAAATTTGTCGCAAAATCCATATCAGTAACGAAGTAGTGGTTTATTATAACTTGCACTACAACCATCAGAAAAAGCAAAAGTTACCTTACTGAAAATTTTTGTGACTAACATTAAAAGATAAATATAGACACTTTGAACGCTTAAATTGTTTTACTGCCAGCCGATTTTAACATAAGAAGTAATTCCTTAGCTCATTTTTCGTTTTCAATATGCAATTTTTTGCTTTAATATCCCAATAATTAGCAACTTGCATGTCTAATATGCATTGCATTTGCCGCATTTCCTGGAGGAGTAATGAAACACGGCAGTACTGTGCTTGTCAGAATTTCTTCAAAGGCCATATTCAATAATCGGGCTATACATACTATCATACCGACCAACGTGTTCTTGCTCCATCACAAAAAATTAGTGGTGACCATCTGATTAATCAAGATGCTACATTCCTCGCGATGTCAAATGTTTGTATGAAGTAATTAAAGCTTAAATACCTAACAGAATTGTAAATAAAATTTACAAAGGGCTTCTATGGCACTGATTATTACTATTAGCATATCGACAAAATCAGTGCTTATATTGTCTAATATTTTTTTAAAAAATTTACGTCGGTCGAAATCTGGACAAAACCCAATTGCAATTAACATAGAATTTTGGGTAAAACGATATCAAACTAATTTTAAGTAAAGTGTTTATGATGAAAAATTATTGAGCATGAACGAATTGTATTTGCGTGATAAAAGTATATTTCATATCAAATTACCAAGTAAAAAGCTCGGCATGATTGTCAAAAAAATAAGGTTTTTTTACTGACTTCATAAACTTCCAAATTTACAATAAAAATATAAAGTGAAAACTGGCTTCCAAAAGTGAAGATTAAAAATATGCCCACAAAATCTGTAAGTAGCTAACGTACACTTTATAAATCTTTACAAAGCAATAGGAATCGAGAAAAATTTGTGCTAAATGCGTTTCGTTTTAGCACATTTAGTGATGTTACCAATTTATTGAAAAAAAATTTTGAGTTTTGCAGAGTTGCGTCCAAATAAACACTTCAGTAATTAGCTCGACAGCATAATACTTCCTTGATTGTGGCTGGAAAATGTTTTTCTTATATATTTTCGTTTCAAAAGTATAATCATAGGAAAGGTCTTAAAACACTTACGATGTTACTTACATTAATCAGGTCTTTTAGTGGAAAAGTTCAAGCCACAGAAAAACAGAAGAAGAAACAGAAATCTAAAAAAAGTTTCTGTCTCATTTGTAGCTTTTGGATTTTTTAGTTATATTTTACCAAAAAAAAATTTATTTGAAAAAGGATTAGCGATTCTTTTAAATATCAAGAATATCGAAATTTGTGTCAACTATGTTTTTTTAGATTTATGCAGTCTTTAAATAAAGCAGATGTCATCCAAAACTCAACAAAAATTTAGATTTTAATTATCAATTTCGAATTAGGAATACACATTTCTTAAAAAAACTAGTTATGCATTTTTGTAATTTAACATTGTTAACTTTTTTTTGTTAACTAAAACACCTTAGAAATGTTATCTTTGGAAAAATTTTGTGAGGCTTACCAAAGCCTTACATCTGTTCGACCTTGATGTGTTAGTATTTCCCATATCATAAAATTACGATTGTTTGTTAAACCCCGGAATTTTAAATATTTAGTTTGAAATTGTTTTTCAAGAATGTTGTATCAGTGTAGTAGAGAAAAACAGCTTTGTTTTTTAGATAGAAGTTGTTTTTTACTAATAAAAAAATCTTTGTACATTTGGACTCAGCAGCCGTTACAATATGATAAATCCGTTTTTTCTATTATGTAGTTGCACAATTAAGAATATAGTTTGTTATTTTATGTGACGTTTAGATGCTATTTTTCGCATCATAATTACTTATTGTACACGATGACGAAGTAATGTGTCTGAAGTATTTATTTGCATGATCTGACGTTTGCTTGTGTATCATTTTTGTTATTGGATATATAAGTGGATAGCAATTTAATGCGATGGATTAACACTTTTTGTAGTTGAATTTATGAGATCGTGCCCTTTGTAGCATCTATTCATTGATTCAACATTAATGTTGTACCATGCGTGCATTGGTTGCCGGTTGTCTGGTGTTGAGTTTACGTTGAAATTAAATTAGTCTTGTTTAGACCCAAGTTTTTGTTTATCAAATTCCTAAGAACGCGTGCTATCAGTAAAATTCGAAAGTACGTTATCTGTTCATGTTTAACCTTTGATTTAAAATTTGCTTTCTTTTTTCAAATATTTTATAACAAATGAACGTGCACTGTTATGCATGATTGCAAAATCAGGCAATCATTAACAAATTGGAAATTTTTTGACAAGTCTGCTTTGAATATAAATAACATTTCCATAAGCGCATATTAATTTTTTCTCTAGGTGAATATTTTGCATCTTAACATTCATTCATATCGAAAACTGAATGCTGAATATATCGCAAAGTTTTGTTCAGTAATAGATTGTACAAACTAATGACAATAAGATGCTTTTAAGACTCTTTGTAATGCTAATATAACAGGTGACTTAATTGTCAATTATCGTTTCGGAATAAATTATCGCAGTGCATGTAATAACAGTCTTGCCGATTTTTGCTCTAAATGTAGTCTCCTATCCGCAAATGACCTGCTTTGTAGAATTCACCAAAAACAAAAGGGTAGTTCCTCTACACGTACACCTCTAAAATTTTGGTGGACCAGACTGCATAAACCAAAAGTATCTTTTAAAGCATCATTTCTACGGAAGGGTGAAACCGCTCTGAACCCTTAATCCAAAAATTGCGTTCCGCATCAATTAAATGCAAATGGAGGACAGTGATAATCGTTAGCAACATATGAAGCAGCGTCTTCCCGTGTGCACATTTAACTCTTTATACCAGATCGCTTCATTTACACGCAAACGCTGCCACATGTACATCTGACATGGCTTCTTCATTTTCTTGTCTTTTAAACGCAGCTCAACCATGCAACGAACCCTTAATTCAGCCTAGCAATGCGTCCAAACTCGACGTCCGTACGTGCGTTCGTTGCGAACCCGCAAGAACTTGTCTTCACGACCAGGGGAGTCAAGGTAAACAAGTATGCCTCCTCCAGGTTTACCTACGTTTCATTCGTTCAAACGCTTTTTACCTTTGTAGAAAATTCTGAACGTGAAAAATGTGTCCAATTTGACCCGAGCCGTGAGACTTGACACGTCATCTCTGACGTGTTTCAGAGTCGTAAACAGTACGTAATCTCCCTCTGTTGAATGTCCGTTTTGGTAATTTTACGGGAGAACCACCGTTCGCAAGAGCGGAAGCCGTATTACCGCGAGGCTCAACGACGCATTGGTGGCCCCAAACAAAGACCAGCCATGAGCTTAAGAAAACACGTTTACCAGCCCCACCCTCCACAAAAAATAAAGGAAAATTAATAATTTAAGTTGTATGTACAGTGACAAAGCAAAGATCTATGTACAAGGTCTGGAATAACACACTACTTCTTGGATGCAGCAGACTTCTTGGGAGTCCTCTTAGTGACTGATTTCCTGGCTTTCGCGGCCTTGGACTTCTTCACACCAGGGGTCGATCCCTTCGACGGCTTTGCGGCTTTCTTGGGCCTCGAAACAGCCGTCTTCTTCGGCTTGGGTGTGGCAGCTTTGACCACAGCAGCCGCCTTAGCAGCTGGTTTCTTGGACGCTTTCTTCGGCTTTCTTACAACAGGCTTCGCCTCCGTTTGTTGGGCGACTTTGAAGGAACCAACAGCTCCAGCACCCTTGACACATACTATCTTTCCGGCGGAGGTAGCGGACTTGAGGCCCCGACGAACGCTTGCTTTGGCAACCTTATCTTCAACATTGTAGTGAGCTATGATGTACTTGATGATGGCCTGGCGGCTGGAGCCCCCCTTTTCCTTCAAAGCCGAAATAGCGTCGACGATCATTTTGGTGAAGGGCGGGTGCGTAGCAGACGAACCGGACACTTTCGCAGATTTGGCACCGGCAGACACCATTGCAGTGAAACGCGCGAGAGGGATTAACGATGAACGGCGATTGCAGGGTTACGCGTGTTTATATAGATGCTTGGCTAGCTCGCATCCAAGCACACTACTCGCGCATGTGCAAAACTGCGTTGCGCGCGTATTTATTTCCTAATATATACCAGTAGCTTTGGTTCATTTCGTTTTATCTGAATTAATTAAAAATATAGGAACATAATATCTATGATAATAAATAGAAGACATATCCTGCCATGGAATGTAATCATAATTATTCATTTTGAGGTAAGTGGAGGAACGCTGCTATGCTCCAAACATACATATCGCAGTCGACAAGTTTGGTGTATTTTTAGAAAATTAGTCAATAAAGTGGAACAATGCGGTAAAACGTAAAATTACCAATTATTCCTATATTTCAGGAAGGTGATCTTTCAAGGTCTTTTGAAAAAATATTCGCGGTATTTCTCATTAAGGCAATTTTCGACCTCAAACTCAGGCTATTTGGTCATACTTTATTCTATTGCCACAAACATAACGCTATTAAATCCATTATTTTTCCACTTTCAAATATTTAACTATTATTCTTAACCACCGACGAGTAAATATTAATCTAATTCTGAAGAATTGTCCGGAATTCTTGCGTTTTGGCCATTTATTTTGGAAATATGTCACCGATGTCAATTGCATCACGAGATTTTGCAAAAAGGTCGTGGTGAGTATATCTTGCAGCTCGTTCGCTGGAGTACTGAGTGAAATGGAAATTAATTTTTACTCTGAGAGTTTTCGGAGAATTTCCTCGTCTTAATGTCAAAATATACTATTGGAAGGTCCGTTTTTTCTAGAAATTTCGTTGCTCTAATGTAAGAGTCCTATTTTGTCTGTTTTTAAATAAGCAAACCAGGTTCCAGGATGAGTTTAAAGGTTTTGTGGCTTTCTTTATGCGACAAGGATTTCTCAAACACATTCTTTTCCTTTTCTGATACTTTATTGTTTAGTGCGGCAATGTTCTACTGATTTACAGTGTCAGTAGGTATTAGAGGTGAATTCAGAAGGGTCATATTTAAAAGTCCTTCGATGGATAACTGTAATTTATGATGTTATTGGAGTTTGTTTTAATAACCACATTCAGGAAAGAGAAAAAGGAAGGCATTTATGTTAGGTCTTCTCCAAAATTCTGGGTACATTTTAAATCTATTGCAAACATAACGCACGAGTAGCTTTCGAATGACGCTCTCGTTTTGCCCGCTTTCTTATTAAGCTGCCGTATCACTTTGCCATTAATCCAATATGATATTTTTTAAAGGACATATATGGCGAATTCAACGTAAAAATCACAACAGCCAATGAGAATCGTTTGTTGTACAAATCCTGACCAATTAATGATACCTGGGGTAATACTACCTTAAATCTTGCACTTTTCCAAGCTAATTGCAGTCAGACTAGGGTTAATCAACTAATTGCCTTTTCTAAGACCTCTCTCGCGTTAAGTGAACAGTTCGTGACATTTCTGGGGTCTGATATTTGCACGACTATTACTTGGTCTACCAATGATGCATTTGTTTAGGCGTAAACTCCACTTAAATATGGAGGCAAAAAATTCCTGCGACAGGCCCTGAATAAAGGTTGGGTCAACATTTTAAATGTGGTCTATAGGGGAATATGCGACACATCGCTCTCCGATTCACGTGTATGTTGGTATTTCAGGTAGTACCACATTTAGTGTGCCAAAAAAGAAAGCGGTCAACTTCAAGACTCCCTAATTGGTACAATTCCACACCTAAAATAATCACCGCGTTTTAGGGGCCTTATAATCCAAACACAATTCTCGATTTTGTGCGGGTCTCAATTCCCAGTTCAGCGTCGTTAAATATGCCTATCTTCTAAGTTATTGTTTTTAAAAACACTAACAGGAACGGCAAATATTGACGTTTCAGAATGCAATTTTATTATTAGACTCTGTCATAGCCACTAAAGGTAGATTTGTTCCCAACGATAGGGTGGGAACGGAAAATCAAATTTTTTTGAAAATAAACCTGTAGAATTAGGTTTCTTGCCATTGAAAAAAGCCAAAGTAATAAATGAGTAAAATTTTTCTGTTTATCTACAACACTGAAGTGGAGATTTCACAATTTTAATGTTTTGCTCCGAAGACAAGAACGCCAACAGATGTAGCCAGGTGAAATGACTTTAATTTGACTTGAAATAAAAGCAGTTATACGAAGTAGTATTTAATGTAGGAGGTTTGCAACTGTGCTCTCAGTTTCGGGATTGACATTCAAATCACAGAAAATCGCTCTTCGACGATCATTTCTGCATAATTTTTATTGGTGTGGTTTTTGTAAGCAGCACACTGCGTGAAGTTAGCTTCGAATGTACGCATTACTTTTTCCCCTTAGCACATTACCCGGAAATGGGCAGTAACCTGATCGCGCCAGGGCTATCCTGTTCCTTCGGAATAACCTTGACAGCATTTGAAGCCAGCGCCACGCATTGTGACACACTCAAAGTGATCTACGAATCGGGAGAGGAGCCATTGAGTGTGCAGCTTATTGCCAAACGGGAAACACCCCAGATTCTGTGTAAGTCACTGGCGAAATTACCGAGTATTTAGTTCCGCAACACGCTGAGGTGGGTGCCTGCCTGGTGGGGTCTACGAAAACCCTCTCCTTGAGATTCCAGATCAGCACCTCCTCTGCGCGCATTTGCGTTCGCTCCGTAAGTTGGCATTGCTACTTTTTCTGTCTGAGTAGAGTTGTATTAAAACTTTGAAACGATAAAGGTTAAATTACAGGAAACCGATGGCGCATTCAAAATTTCGCCTGACAGATTTGATCTTTCCTCTGGTGATTATGCCGATCTTCAAGTTTCCTTCAGTCCTCGTGCATGCGGAGAGGTCACCGAAGCATTCAAAGTTTATGCAGGTGATGTGAATCTTGGTGAGATCGGATGCCACGGTAAGTTACCCTAAACCAAATTTTAACATTTTTAGGAATCGGGGAAGATCTTAATTTGAAGTTCGCAGAAGACACAGATGACGTGACGTCATCGTTGCTAAGGAGTAGAGTTCATAGCGATGGACACATAATGGCAACTTACCACTTGCCAGCTGCACATCCAAATTTCCAAATAAAGAAAAATTTCATCCTTACGAACCAAGGGTAGGGTTGAGCATTTCTAATAACAAAACCCAAGAAACGTGGAATTTTCCCTGGAAACACCAGGAACGGGGACTGCTCCCCAGGGTAGTTTGTTTTAAAAATGCGTTAATGGATTTAGATCCTGCATTTGATTGGTCAATCGCGAATAGTCGTCTTCGCGCCAAGAGCCAAGTTCCAATTTCCCTGAGTTTTTGCGCCAATAGTGTGAGTTTAAAGCACTTCTTATGAATCAGTGGTGACAGGTGGTTTAGTTCAGTTTAGCCGGTCACGATTAATGCACTGAATTCCACAACAATGTACACACCTTGAGGCATTTTGACCAAAAGTAATTGCGAGGGAGCACACAATAAACCCTACCGGAAATGTCTTTTAAATAAGGTTTTCTTGTAGCAAAATTGCCACTTCTTGCTGCACTAAACTCACGTTGCCGAGACAACACAAATATTGTCGAAATTTGGAAACTGAGATGGACTGTGCTGGTAACTACCAAATTCCATCCTGAATACACCCGCAGTGCGAACTCTGACGTAGGCAGATGAGGCACTAAGCTGGGACTTGAGGCCAAAAAAATGGCAAACACCTTACTACAACACTCATATCATGAAAATAGTAATCTCTCAATTTGTCACAGACGCATTCACGCCCAATCTTTCAACAATGGCAAAAAATGGTACCCTTTTCACATCCCATTTCCTTTGTAGATTGGGCGACATGAAGTAAATTTGACTATTCGTGGGACACAAATTTCAAACGACTGCCTAAGTGAAAGGCATTTTGATTTGGTTAATCTGCACGTGTCGGCTGCAATAGAATCTCCAGCCATCATTATGGAGCCCAATTTGGTTCAATTGGAACGGTCAATTGTGTTGACAGAGACGTTAAGGCTGGAAATAAAGGTAACCCACTTAATTTTGCGGTTATTTTGGCTACGATTCATAATTAGAAGCATGTGATTGGTTTTCACGCAGTTGACAAGTAGCCTTCATTTTAAAGGACATATATGGCGAATTCAACGTAAAAAGCACAACAGCCAATGAGAATCGTGTGTTGTACAAATCCTGACCAATTAATGATACCTGGGGTAATACTACCTTAAATCTTGCACTTTTCCAACCTAATTGCAGTCAGGAAATGCTTATTAGTGGTTAATCGATTACAATTATTTAGCTGCAAGATCCAGAATTAACCAATTACAAATCTGGTTTTATTCCAAATTATCGATTAAAATGTAGGCAAAAGATCCCTTACATTGGTTTATAATGTGGCAGTGAGGCATCATTCTTGCTTAAATGTACTTCCGTTATCGTCCACTTGTTTATGTGTTAAATAGCTATTTCACTCAATAATGCCGATGGTATGTTCATTCCTGACAATAAAGGAAAGTATAAATATAATTTTTTTTTATGATTCTGATCACCAGCTGAACTAAAGAATCTACGCAGAGGAGATCTTGTTTAACCATTGCATTCCTATCTCTTTTTGCATCACTGGTACGGTTGTGAAGATTCCTGCCATGCTTGTCCTTAGGAGCGCAGGCTATCTGAACATTTGATTGGCTTGATCTGACTCATGGTCAATCGGGACACCAAAATAAAGTAGGCTTGATAGTGCTCGGCCAAAAAGCTCTGGAATCTGTAATCAGAAAACTACTATGTCGCTGACATCATGGTAGCGGGAGACACACCATTCATTTATCTTCGGTAGCATTCAGAACTTGCTTTGAATAAAGATTTAGCCAAGTTGCCTTTGTGTTCTTTTAATCGATGAAATCTGAACCTCACAGTAGCCACAACATTCCTTGTTCTAGCTTACTAATCCATCGGCTGTCTGCCCAATTGCATTTTGCTGGGAGCTATCGCGAATGAAGAAGGCATTTCTTAACAGCGTTGTGTCCAATGAGCAGGCAGAGATTGTCCGGGGTTCTGTCGACTTGGAAAGTGGACTGCTTCAGCCTCTAGAAACGCAAATAATCAAGCTCTCTCTAACCCCTTTGCGCGTTGGCTCAATCGAGTGCCTCCTTCCATGCAGACTGAATGATCAACCAGACGGTCTAACCTGGCTACAGGTTTTGTTTGTTGTTGTTGTAAGTCGACCCCAGCAAACCACCCGATGAATGCAGAAACTCCTTGAGGCATTCACCTGCTACTCACTTCACCTCAAGTAGTAGAGACAGAAGTGCACTGTAAATTTAACCTTCTGGCTACCCCCGTAGCTCTAAATACTCATAAACATTTGCCTAGATGTTTACGGAGTCTTATACCTTGTTACACCCGAAAATTACCTGACACTTGAAGGTCTGTGGGTGTGTCTAGTTAGGGAGGAGCCGTATCAGCTGATTTGCGCCACAGATTCATCCAATTTCAAGCTAATCCATATTGCAGTCTCCAAATATTGAACTTGAAACGGACAGCATTGACTTCGGAAAATTGCGGCCAGGTCAGTGTGCTACAAGGACGACGTACCTGGCCAATCCCGCCTCACTTTCACTGTCATGGGCTGTAAAGCACCCTCAAATGGTTGGTTATTTCTTTCTTTTCTATCGTGTCTACTTCTACCATTAATCAGCTTTACTTTGATTTTCTAAGGCAAATGCAATATTTTCCATCGAACCTTCCAAAGGGATCATCAAAGCGAAATGCAACGCGAAGATTTCACTGGCTTTTCGTCCACGAAACGTTGGCCAATTTGACGTGGAAATACCTTTCAGTGTGGATGGGGCCCCGTTAAGGTTAATTTAATTGACAATCATTCAAGCATTGATTTTTAAACTTCATTTCATCATTGGGAGGCTTTCTGAATGTCCCACAGGTTGCCATAATCGTGTTGTGTCCAATGATCTTATGGCAGTAAGTAACTTTAGCGTATTTTGATAATCTAGGACGCTCCGTTTAACTGGAGAAGCAGTACAGCCTGTGGTCATTGTGGAGCCCCAAGAACTTCAGATTAATGAGGCCTTTTTAAACGTCCCACAGACAATCGAAGTTAATTTGAAAAACACGTCCGCGGTTTCATCAACATTTAGATGGCTCCAAGTAAGTACTTAATTTCATTTGTTTGGCCGTGTTTCCTAAATTAAGACAAACAGGAGAGGCAAATACGACCTAGCAACCCACTAGTTCTTTGGTTGATGTCATTCTCTCAATTTTTTGTTGCCTCTAACGCGGTTACTGGTCATCGCCTATTTTGGTCATTATTTTCATTAATGCCTTGACATCTGTTTTATTACGCTTTTTACCGGGTCAAGGTCGAGCTTGACTTAAATCAGTGCAAACTTGTAGTAGCTTATCGTCTAAGCACTACCTTACAACCCTCTAGTTAACAACCCTTAACAACCCGAGAATGGAGAGAAGAGAGGCGACCGTGAACACGACCGTTTATTAGCGTCACGCCAGCCAAGTGTGTCCTAGTGTGTGGATGAGTGAACGGATGACAGGCATTGGATATAGTAACCAATGAAAAAGGGGGTGAGTCATTGTCACCGTCAGGTCAGTAACCATGGTTCACTCAAGCGCGATCGCTGTTAATCCGCTACAAACTTTTGACAAATTACTCGCAAGTGGCTGACGTGAATAAAGCTCTCTATACGAGCTCTGGTCTTGTTCTTGTATTAGCGTGAGAAGGTCGGTGCTAGCGTCAACAAGGGATCTGGTGCCGTTATTTGAGTGATTTTCTCTTGGTTACAGGCAAACGTAACAGTTACAGATTCTGACCTTCTGTATTCGCGCACATCTTACTACAATCTGCCACATCTTTCCACGATGGGCTTTTGCAGTTTATTGAAGGCAAAGGAGTGTATAAGTGTACGGTTTTGTGCCAGTGCAAATCGAATATAACCTTTTCTGTGTCAAAGTCTACTGACTGCTGCGTGATACATGTGATGTGGGTTTTTGTAAACCACATGTCTGAAGGCACACGATACGTGAACCAACCTTGCTGTAAACCGTCAACGTGTTCCTGATGCTTCTTACATTGTGCAAAGCTCTGAAAGCCTAACTTTCATTACAAAAAATCAAGTTAGCTGTCATTGAGTGGAGTGGTGGATTCTTTTCCGTCATGTGATCTTCAAATTGGTGGTTTTAGATAAACAGAAACTTGTAATCAACGCCTGAAAAGGAGGTGTCCGTTGATGATGTTTTTTCACGGTTTTCGATTTTACAGTGGATGTGGGCTTTCAGAGCCGCCGAGACTCGTATCAACGGCTGTGTCAATTGCATAACTTCTTTAGTGCCCATAGACCAGGAGATCCACAGGTGATTTTGTCAAATTTTAGGGCCTCAATCGTATTTCATAACTGCAAAACGCAACTTCACATAGTACTTTCATTGATAATTTCTTTTTTTGATACTGACTTTGTTATTACTGATTTTGCTTCCACTAGAACCATTTTTTTTCAAAAAGTATGTGCGAATGCAGTTTTCTGCTTGCAATTATACGTCTTTCTAAGAGCATGACTCAGAAAGTTTGTTAGTTTCTAGGAAAGGGAACCAGTAAATTTAAAATTACTAAAGATTTATCAAGTCGAAATCAAAATTACAGGGAAAAATCCTCACCTGGCAAAAGTGCACAGATTTGCAAGTTCACCCACAGATTGTTTATTTGAACTGTAAGTGTGTTTTTTGTCAAAAAGGAAGTCACGTTTCCCTTGTTCTCGAAAGCGATTGGCATGAGAGAAAATAGGACTGCCGTGTAGGTCAAACTTTTGTTTTATGCTCATTTTACAATCAGGTATTTTAGATTGGCATAATTTTATGGTTTAGTTAATGTCTGGAAAAGACGGTGGTCAGTTGACTTTGAAGAGACTTCAGCACAGTCACTGATTTTTGCAATTGCAGTCCAAATCAGTTTCTTGTTACGAAATATCCAAAATTTTGAAGGAATGTGCCTTTCAAAGCTTTGGGGTAACCCAAGTCAACGAAATGGCCAATACCGATTCGATCCGTCTCCTGTCAAAAGCTTGGTTCTATCCGTTCATACCGAGTTTTCGAAAGAAAATTTTACGAAAGGCGACTTACTAAGAACCGACATAACGCGGTGAAATCCTTTGAACACCTTTTGGGCATTTTCTGGGAGGTTTTCATTGGATTTATTTAAGGTTTTGGAACTGTACAGTGATGAAAGAAGCTTTGTCACCTGGATAAGGTCACGTTGAGATGCCTTGGAAGAAAATTTGTCGGACGATGAGGCTAACTAGAACTTGCTTACCAAGTATCAGGGAAACATAAATTAACCAATAGAAGCATTAAGATGGTATAGTGGCACCATAACATCTATCTTTGTAATTTAAAATTACATTAATTGTTGGGAAATACTTGAAGATGACGAGAGAATTATCCCGAAAGCCCTGGAAGCGTTTAATTTGCTTTAGGTGTTAACAAGGAAATATGAATTATCCCATATTATTCAGGAAATAGTAAAATTCTATTGTAGTGATACTTTAAAAGCAGACAATCAGACCAAGTTGTTCCACGCTTAAAATCAGCTATCATGGTGAAAAAAATCAGTGTTTGAGAACGTCTACAATGCAAGAAAAATATCAAGTGTTATAAGAGAGCCAACTGGGTTTCTAGAAAATAAATTCAAAGAAAAACTTGGTATTGAATGTGTAGCTTATTTTCAAAGGTTCATTATATCAAATTTCCATGTTTTTTTGCAAAAAGTGCAGACCCGTTTTATTATCAGCCTTAATTTAGCCCATGGTTTCCGTGATCTAAGAACAGTTCACACATATCAGATGATAAATATTTGCACAATCAGGGGATACGATGGCATAAGTTGTTACATTCTACTTGGTGTGTTGATTCAAATCCACGAGCTAATTGTTAGAACTCCTTTGTTTGATGCGTCAAAGGTTTCCCAGAATAGAGAGAAGACTAGAACTTGTGCAGGCGACTTTGCTGTCTGAACCAAAGAGTCGTGTTGAAGATGAGGCCAAGGCGGAAGTTGTGTGGATGAGTTGAGTAACTGACAATGAGGAACGAATTGTTGGTGTGAATGACGAGTGAACAGAGCTGGGTAAAATAGACGCCGCATCCCCGACACATTGTCACCTTGAAATGACATTGGCTAGATGGAAAATAGCTAACTAATGAATCGTTTGCTAGGAAACCTGATTTATAACCATAAATATCCGGAAAGTTTTGATCCACACTTGTACACATCATCATGGTCACGAGTATGCCCTTCCCAAAATAAACACGTACTTTAAGATCCCAAGTTAATAACACTCCCAGTAATCTCTAAAGCCTATAAACTATCAATGTTCTACATTTTCGAAACTGTAGGTTGAAGATGTCAGCGAAGGGTCGGTGGAAGTTAGCGTTTCTCCTTCTTGCGGTCACATTGGACCTAACAAGTGCACGATCATTAGGGTTATGTGCACAGGCAAAGCCCTCGTAAGTGAACCACGTTACCTGTTTATTGAAGGGATACAAGTGAAAGTAAATGGTCAGTGATGTGGCCACTCTCTCGTGCATTCTGCCAAGGGGTGTTCATTCAAGCTTGGCCAACTAAGACCTATAGCAGTTTTGGTCCATAACTCTTAGAGTTATACTAGTGTCAGGGTGATTATATGGACACATCAACATTTCCTGATGCGTATTCATGGTTCCAGTATCGATCCGAGTTTAAAACAATCAAAAACAAATGAAACATTTTTGAGGGTCCACACCTCGACTACTCGTCAATTTTAAAACGATATTTAAAATTAAACAATGTTAATAAAAGTGTAATAACCTAATCTACTTATGGATATCAATCAGTTACCTCTTACAAAATATCTTAGTGTCGAATATAAGCGAACCGCTCTAAATCAGTGAATCAATATATATATATACGTTTGACGCAAAATAAAAGCAGACTTCGAAAAGCAAGAATAACGTAATTCTTTCAACATTTAAGGGAATCTTTAAGGACGTTCGGCTCTACTGCGAAGTGGATGGTTTGTCGGAGCCACTGTTATTGAACTTATCCGTCAAGGTTGGTGGACTCTCTTGCAGAATCACAGCGCCTTCAGATGGCTTTTCGCCAAATTTAGACGGTTCAAAGTATGCTTCTTCCTCTTCCATAAATTTCGAAGGCAATCTGAACTATAAAAATTTGTTTTGTTCAGCGTCCTCAATTGCCAAGCCCATTTATTTTTTTTGATTCTTGCTTGATTTTCCTATGATTATATATATATATATATATATATATATATATATATATATATATATAATA